GGCAAGCAAGAATTTCTCACTATCATGAAATAAGTATATGTGGATGGAAAATCTGAAAAGTTGCATCTATCCATAGTATTTCCTGTCCTGCTGCGTGGAAATTGTGGACTTTCTTTTTGGACACAGATAAAATGGATGGATAAAATCAATACTTTAAAGCTCAAAATTGCCTTTGGGTTTACAGAAGTCACAGCCAAGCCCATCCCTGAGGTCTGAAGGTGGTGACCTTGCACTGGTGCTGTTCTCACCCCACATCCTGAGACAGCTGGGGGCTCTGGGAACAGGGCAGGGTTATTCCAGCCCAGCACTGCCCGAGTTCCAGACTCCAGGTTGGACCCACCCCTGTGACAAGGGAGAGCAGGAAGGATCTGTGCCACTCCAGGCAGCAAATGGTCTCTATCTGCAGGAGCACCTTCTTTACAGCTTCCTAAATTAAGTCCCATGTTAATGGACAGGAGATGCCATGTGAATTTTTACATTTATCTAAAGCCACCTTGTGAAAAATCTGCCTCCTTTTAGTCTGATATTAATGTACAGGCATCACTCCACCCCGACTGGAGAAAGAGGGAGGGTGGGAATTTATCTTACATAAATCCCAGCGTGTCCTGTCTAATATTTATAGCCAGCACAGAATGGCTTTTCTTCCTGAGCTGCAGAAATAAACCTGTCAGCTCCGAAGATGGCCTTGTGTTTTATCACTTTCCTGCTTGATTTCAAATGGAGACAAAAGGCATAATAAAATATTTTCCATTGATCCCTAGGATGCAATCAAGGACCATAAGAAGCCAAGGATGCTGCTGCCACCAGCCCTTGTCCCAGCACCAAGGAGAGGTGTCAGAAGACACCCTCGATTTCCCCGGGTTTTGGCCCAAAACAGTGGTACAGCCACAATCCCACTGGCCTTGCAGCATCTTCTGGGCAAGTCTGACTTCCTGGTGCTGCTCTGGGTCAGGAAAACTGGCCCCTTGTACCCCAGGGAGGATCAGGGCTCTTCTGGAAACCATGTTTGGGGAGATTCGCGTCACAGCACTGGGGCCAGCCCGAGTGTCCCTGTGCTCATCAGGGGGGATGATGGTGCTTTGGGATGCTCCAGCACATCCCTTGATCCCTGCTGCTGGCAGAGGGAGCATCTGCTGCAAGGGCTCCTGATACAGGGCCCTGCCTTTCATCCAACTCCTATGGAAAAAGCCAAGTTTCTGCCTAATGTACTGAAAACAGCGGCTGAATAGTCTGGGGAATCTCAGAGAGATCCCTGGGACTCCCAGAGCAAATCCTGACTGGATTACCAGAGGAGATGTTTAACCTTAGCACTTCCACCTGCCCACTGTCGGCCCCCTCAATCCTTAAATCCCACCTAATTAGGAAATTACTTCTGCAAACATCGGAACTCACCTCGTACAGACTGAACTAAGGCTACAAAACCCCACACGCAGGGAACCAGTGCTTTTACACATCCAGGTCTATAAATGGTATTTCAATATTAATTAACTCAAGGCAGTTAGGGGAAAATTAATTTATGCAATTAAAAATTATTAGATTAAAAGCCGTTTTTTTAACCCCTCATCCTGTTGTGAGTAATCCTGGGCTCTGCCGTGTGATTTCAGTGCTTTCAAAATGAGACTTTTCAAATCACTAGGCTTTACGTAAAGTAAAGGAGTAATTAGACACCAAAAACAATAATTATCTCAACGAGAGACAGGGAGAGCAGAGAAGTGTAAATACACTGCCAGGGCAACTGCAGACCCAGGGAAGGAATTGTTATGCACCAGCCAAAGCAGGGAGCAGCCAAGCACAGCCCCACGTCAGAACCACCAAAGACAACCCAGCCCCTGATCTGTCTCGTTCCTGGCTCTGTGATAAAGGTTAATCAAGCACAAAGCAACACACGAGCTCTTGGGAATTCACTTCCAGCTCCGGGCATGGAACAACCCAGCCAGGCAGAGGCTGAAGCCTTCATTTCCCTGGTGGGGTGCAATGATCGGGGTTTTTGGGAGGGATTTGATGCCCTCCCCAGAAGCAGGGCTGAGCAGGCACAGCAAGCCGTCCCCAATACCCTCCCAGTGCCTCCTGTACCCCCACTGAAACCTGCAGCAATGCTACAACATCATGGAAATGTGGCCAAAAAATGTGTCTGCTAGAGAAGAGACAAGCAGCAAAGGTGCCTTTGTGGAGAATGGGTGTGGATGAGGAACTGAGCCACCAGCTCAAATCAAACAGGAACTAATATAACACCTCTGAGAAGCAAAATGATGCTAAAGACAATTTGAATGGGGCTCTGCTCCCCTTGGCTGGTGTTCCTGGGGCTGAGCATGGGCTGGATCAGGGGATGGCTGGGGACAGACACCCAGCCCTCATTTGTGTGTTATGCCTTACTTTGAGGCTCTGGATACAAACAATCCCTGCAGCCTGACCTTTATAGACACTAATATATTAAAAAAAAAAAAAAAAAGACTTTAGCCAAGGGGAAGAGCCAGGTCAGCACCAACTCCTCAGCCCTGGTGTGACCCCTGAAGGCCACAAACACTCAGCAACATCTCCCTTTGTCACCTCCCAAACACTCTGTTAGTGCCCAAACCCCACTCCCATCCCTGCTGCTCCGCTCTGCACCCACTGCTGGCATGAAAGAAACAGCTTTTTGCAGCACAGAGGCACTGCTGGAGAAATATCAGCTATCAGCAAGTACCTGAGTTGTCTTAATCCTCCCTAAATCCCAAATCAGCTGCTGTTAATCTCCCTGTCCTATCAAACGGGGAATTTTCCCGGCGCCAGCCGTTGGGTGAAGCGACAGCCGGCAGCTTAACCGTCCCCCTCCCCAGGGCCGGTGTCAAAGGGATTTTTAAAGAGAGAAGACATTTAAAGCAGGACAAAATTTGCACATTTTAAAGCAGAAGAGCAGTAAGGAAGTGCTTTTGATGGAATTCAGTTGTTTTTCACTGTAAAACACCAAACACCAACGTTCTGTTCTGCCCCAGTCCAGGGCAGGTGACACTGGGGAGCTGCTGGGGAAGAGAGGGACAAGGCAGAGGGGACACAGCAGCAGCAACTTCACTGGAAAACAGACACAGAGGTGGGAAATAGCAGGAGCTATGGATTTACCTCTGTGCCTTAGCATCCCTGGCACAAAGGTCCGATCCCACCCCCAGAAAAATCACGGGGTGCACAAACAGCCCCAACCACTTTGCACTGTTACACTCTGATACCAAAGTTAACACCTTCCTGGTAACACTGTTCCCACACAGTCCAATGGCTTGAAGATCCCCTTCCTTCCCAAGGAAAGGCAGGCAGGCACAATCCAGACCCCTGGGCTAACCATCCCAGCACCTGGGTCCCCCCCTTTCCGAGGCAGGAGATTTTCCCTCTGCAGACGTGGAGGCAGCCTGGGCCACGAGGCACAGAGTGGAAATGAGCAGCTCTGGGGACAGGACCCCATGGAGCTCCCTGCAAAGGCATCATTGCCAGGAGTGACCTTGGTAAAAATATCTGTCTGAAATCAAAACAAGCAGCCCCAAATGTAGGCAGGGCATGGCCAGCAGCTCTCCAGGTCAGCACCCCTGCCCCACCTGTGCCATGTGCTGGAGGGAGATGGGGCTGTGGAGGCTCCGACACAGCTACCAAATGGGTGGATTATTCCTGTTTGATCAGTCAGAAAAGGAGCTGTAGGAGGGAGAAAGCTGCTGGAGCAAAGAGGCATTGAGAGAGAGCAGAGCTAAAGGTGCTGAGTCCACTGAGTGGACTCCCACTCCACGTTTTCCCTGAAAGCAGAGCTGTCCCAAGCACAGCAGAGGTCCCTTGAAATGAACAGGATAACTGTAAAGCAGAGGAAAAGCAGATGTGTACGAGGTTGTTACAGGCAGTGGGACAGGGGAGGGTTCAGGTAAATGTATGGAACATGCCTGGACCCTGAGCTGTGACCCAGGACGATGGATTAAGGGAGCATGGAATGTCCCCACCCTGATCACAAATATAGCCATGGAGATCAGATTAACTGTGGATTCAGTTCTCTGTGAGACACCAAGTAGGGTACAGCAGCCAAGAGGCACCTGGGGGGAAGCACATGAATAATCCCAAGCCTTAAGGAACTGGAGCACCACAGAGAGACTTGGACATGGCTGGGACTCTGCCAGTCCCACCAGTGGCAAGGAGAAATAGAGAGATCCAGGGAGAGACATCTCTGTTCCTGAGCCTACACGGTCACAGCTTCCTGCACATCCTCTCTGGGGGAGGGCAGGGAGAGCACAGGGAGAGAGGATCACACAGACTTTGGAATCACAGAGCAGCCACAGCACAGCAGGCAGGAAGACCCATGGTGGGGTTCAGGCTGCACCCCTGCACTGGTGTTACCCACTCAGACGTTGCTGTAATGATGGCTGGACCAGGAGCAGACAAGTATTCCCATCTTTTCTGACAAACAGCTTCCTGATTGCTCCTGCCTGCACCTCCATTTGCTCTGGCAGCTCATTCCCCCAGGCTGCACACCCAGCACTTCTAGCAGGGCCAGGCAGGGCTGAGGGAGAGCAGCCAGGATCCCCCCTCTGTGAGCCAGGCTGCAGCCCTCCACCTTGGAGAGAGACTGGGGGGTCAAATTCAGCCCCACTGCCCCTCAGGCAGACTGAGCTGACCTGCTGTTAAAATAAAGCCGAGATTAAAGAACGGAGAGACCTGGTCAGCTTGAGAAGAAGGAAGGAAAAACCCAGCAGACAGATTGACCCAGGATGACAGACAGACAGTGCTGCAACACAAAGGGGTCCAGGAGCTGAATGTGTGGAGCTTCCATCCCTGCAAGCCAGAGTGGGAGCAGGCATCCCCCAGTTATCCTGCCAGGGCAGAGCTCTGACACGTGCCAGACCCGAGGAGAAACCATTTTCCAGGCAGACAAAGAAACGGCACCTCCAGGACGAGCAGCACCTGCCCGTCTGCCCGTGTGTCCTCACGAGTGGAAGCAGCACTGGAGGAGAGCCCTGGCACGTGGGAGAGCAGCAGGGGGGACTCAGAACACTTACAGCCTTTGGCTTGAAGGGGGGCTGGATCTCCTTGCGCTCCAGCTTGTCCCAGTCGATGTAGCGGAAGAAGGCGTGCTCCTTGATGTCCCGCTCCCCCTCGGGGCCGCAGCCCAGGCGCTTGGCAGGGTGCTTGGTCATCAGCTGGGGGAGAGGGAGAGAAGACACGGTCACTCACAGGGTGGCCAACTACCTCCCAGATCCCCTGGGAGCCGTGATGCCCAGCTGGACAGGCAGCACCCCAAATCAGGGTCTGTACCCCAGAGCAGTCCCATCTGCTCCACCTGCTTTTGGGGCTCCGAGCAGAGGACCGAGGGAGAAGCCAGAGCAGCTCCAGGGACAGGGAAGGTTGACAATGGCTTATGAAAACAGGTGGCAAGGTACATAAGCACTGGCAGGATGGGCACATCCCTTTCCCTCTGGGAATGAAAGTGGTTCGCCAAGAAACAACCTCAGGGCGCTGGCAGAGCGCCCCGTAGTGCTGCAGCCTCTCCTGCTGCAGGGGGGCAGGATGGCAGCAAAGCTGCCTCTGCTTGGTACAAACTTCTCAGCATCTGCAGAATTAACTCCAGAACCCACTGCCCATTCAAGACGAACAATCTGCCCTCCAAAACTTTCATCAGCCCTCCTCCAGCAGAGCCCCCACTCCTCCAGAGCTGCAGCAGCACAGACATGAGGTGGATTTCTAATGAAAGAGTCACTTTGGAGATAAAAAAGCAGAAACAGTCCATTAATGTTGTTTATCATCTAAACTTCTCCTCTTCACTGGCTCAGTAAGGGAAAGGGGCCCCAGGAATTAAGGGCAGCTGTACAACATTAATATCCTGGGGCAGGGTTTGAGCCATGTTGAGAGATCAGATGGAGATTCCAGAGATTCACAAGATGTTGATAAGGACGGAGAATATGAGCTATATACCTGCAACAAAAGCACTGCTTTATTAAAAGCAAGGCAGTTCAAACTGATCCCAGTGCTGTGCAGAGGTTGCAGGAAGTCTGACTCTGTGTCCCAGGGCTGGGGGAGCCTCTGGGAGGAAAAGGAGGTGCCAATGAGAGAGCCCCTCTCCAGCCAGAGAGCTGAGAAAAGGGTTCCAGAAGCGAGCAGAGATGCTATGGCTGCCCCGTGCCTGGAAGTGTTCAAGGCCAGGATGGGGTTTGGAGCAACCTGACCTGGCAGAAGGTGTCCCTGCCCGTGGCAGGGGGTTGAAACGAGAGGAGCTTTAATGTCCCAACCCAAACCATTCTAGGATTTGCAGACCAAAAAAAGCCCACCAGTCCAGTCAGCCATTGGCAGCACCCACCACCCCATGGGGACCTCACAAGCCTCTGCCAGGTCTCCATCCAGGTAGAGCTCCTCTGCCTGGGGTGCAGGTGCCGGATATGAGTCAGTCCTGCCACCCATGATGGCACAAAACAAGCTTGCTCAGGGAAGTTGATCTTTTAACAGCAATGATGTGACAGGGTGCCAAAAGCAAGGAAAATTCTAGGAAAAAAAAACCCCAGAACCCTAAAACCACAAACTCCAACAAATATGAGGCAAGAGCAGAGCCACCAACTGCTCTGTGAGCAAACAGCTCTACATGCCCGTCCACCAGCCGTGATGCCATCTGCAGCTGGAAGAGTGATGGAGCGCAGCTTCTGTGGAGCAGCATCCCCCTGGAAAGCCCATCTGCAAACAGTGAGGGGCTGGCAGGCTACACAGGCTAGACCAGGGATTTTCCAGCCTCTGCTCAGGCAGAGGGTGTGACTGGCATCAGCATCAGCTTTGCAGAGCCTGTCCCTGTACGAGGAGCCACGCTGGAGCACGGCCAGGGGCCCGGGAGGGAGGGCACGGGAGGCCAGGTGGCAGCAAAAACAAAAGCAAGGATTTTTTTCTAACTTGTTTTTTTGTTAATAAGAAGTTTCCCTTGGATTGCAGCACACAGACCTTTATAAAAGAGAAACCCAACAACAAATGTCTGAGTAAGACGCCTGGGAAGGTGGCAGAGCTAACATGTCTTGGCCTCTTGAACATGTGTGGCAGCAGCACGGACAGCAGTTGTGATGGGCTTTTCCCAGGCACCAGCACCAGGGGAAATGGCACCCAAAATACCTGTAAATATTCCCAAAATGCTGCGGAAAACATTGCCATTTCATGCCTTTGCTACCAGGCAGAGATTAAAGAGGGAGCTGATAGTCACAGACAATCTGTTCTCCTGGAAAGGGCTGATTTGCTCAGGCACCATCAGACCTCTCCATATGGGATGGAAAAGGCTGAGGGTTTGTGCCGGTGCCCACACACTCCCAGGGCTGGGACAGGAGTCTGGCTCCTAATAACCAAACCTGAGCTACCTGCCCATGGAAACAGCAGCTCCAAGATCAGCCTTCAGAAACAAATCCGAGCTGACAGCACAGGAGGGAAATGCTCCGTTTGATCCACTAATTGCTGCTGACTGGAGAGTCCTGGAGCCGTGTGCCAGTGAACTCTCCAGTTTCCTTCCCAGCCAAGGATCCCTGATTAACGCTTGTCTCTGGGCTCAGGCTGCTTCCAGGCTTTCAGGATCAAACACATTCCATCTCTGAGTGGTGCAGGGATGACTGGCACCAGCACACTGGAGTGAAACCGTGGGGGAACAAGAAAATGGGTTTGGAAACTGTGGCAGTGAAACACCAAACCTCTCAAGCTAGGGGCAAAGGCTTCTCCAGGGGCTTGTTCCCTGGACTAATGTAAGCCCAGGTTTGTGCCCTCCTGGCAGACCTACCACACACCAACACAGACAGCTCAGCCTCAGTGCAGCTCACCGAGATGTATTGCACTGTGTTCCAGGGGAAAATGTATATACTCAGTTCCCAGCTTACTAAAAAGTTCTTAAATCCTACACAGTTTTAATTCAACTTTCGGGTGTAGCAGTTTGGTGGTGGCAAAGAATGTCAGGAGGTTTTGAAACAACAGTAGTACAGAGGGAACCACCACTTTGGCACAAAAAAAAATCCAGGAATTTATAGAGAATCAACCCTCGGTGTGTGGCCAAATATCCTCCCATGCAGCCTCCCATCTCCAGAGTAAGAAAAGCCATCGCAGCTACACCCAGCAGACGCTGCAGTCACGGTCCTTGCTCATCTATTTACAGCACCCACGCTGTGACTGATGCAGCAGCAAACAAAGCTGACACTGAGCCTGGTCCCTGTTCCAGCCTCGGGCACGGCAGGGACAGCGATGCTCAGCAGCACCAACACCTCCCGCCCTCCTGCCTGACCAGGAACACGCTGGATTTTCCCTTTACACGCCCAACATCACAGCAAGAGGATGAGAGACGGTGACAGTGCCTGTGGGAATCCCCCTCTGACCACCCGTGTGGTTTCTAAATTAAGGACTTGATTTCCTACATTCTGCTGACAGTGGTGGGGCAGCACACCCTCCCTGTGCCCCATTCCAGGTGGGAACACCTGCTTTTCCCCACAGGACAAGTGAATATTCCTGTGTTTAACACCAGCTCAGAATCCTGGCAACGCCAGGAAGAGGCTTTGAAATGCCGCAGTGGGAGCGCTGAGCGCAGGATGTGTCATTTGGAGATAGAAACACTATTTTGAGATAGAGAACATTCAGATATTTTCAATATTAACTATTATAAGCAAACATTTCTTAAATTCCTACACAAACACATATTTATAGCAGTGTGTGGCACTTGGAGGTGAGATGAGGCTCAGTCCCAAGCACACAGAACAACATCAGGACCTTGCAAGCCTTTATCCATCACATCCCAAATTAACTCAGGCTGCATTTAAGTCATGACTAGGCCCAGTCCGTGGAGAGGTCAGGATGCTGGGCAAGGCAGAGCTTCACTGCAGATTAAGAGACATGATAATGAAAATACTGCCCAGACACCACAGAGACACCACCAGCACTGAGCTTCAGGTTGTCTTGAAGGGTGACATCAGAGCTAAGCAGAAGGATGAAGGTATCTGATCATAGAAAAACTATTCTGGGATGACATTAATTTCTCCTGAGCATAATTTTTCATTTCAGGCAAAGATTTATAGAGCTGCCCTGTCCTCACCTGATGGGGCACAGGGTCTCTGGGGATGCCCTCCCTTCCCACCTCCCAGCCAACATCCCAATTCCTTCTGAACTTCACCTGAGCCCTCAGAGCAGCCCCTGAGTCCCAGCTGTACATCTGCTCAGTGTAACAGCACAGAGGGGATCTGGGTGTGATTTTCACCTGGTTTTCGTACACACACACAAATGACGCAAGTTGTAGTTTTGGGAGTGGAGAACCCAACTGAGTGTCAGATCCCCTTGTGCTGGGGAGCAGGGAGTGAGCTGGGATGCCCAGGTGTGCAGCATCTCACTGCTCCCCCTGCCCACACGCTCCCCCAGGCCAGTAGAAGATCCATCCCAGCCCTTACCCCTTTGCAGATGGCCACTGCCTCCTTGGACATGGACTTGGGGTAGGCGACGTTGTGCTCCATGATGGACTGGAAGAGCTCGTCTTCATCTTCTCCCTCAAAGGGGGCCTAGGACAAAGCAGACACAGGTTCAGTGGCCTTTCTGGGTCCCTAAGCTTCCATGTGCTGCTGTGGGCCTTGGCCATGGACCCAGCCCTGGCTGTGCCATGCAGTGAAGTGAATCATCATCACAGTCCCTGGGGCTGCACCCAGACTCACCCCAAGCTCTGAAGAAAATGCCCTGGCTGTGTGCCAGCAGCATGGCAAATTCCACATCAGTGTATGCTCAAAATGGAATGTAACACAGCCCAGAGGAATCAATTAAAACTCAATTACCTGGCCAGCCAACATCTCATAGAGCAGGACTCCGAACGCCCACCAATCCACAGACTTCCCATAAGGCTGGTAAGCAATTATCTGCAAACAAGAGAACAGCAGGATTACACTCCCAGGTCTGACCTGGTAGCAAAGTGATTCCAAGCTGTAGCCCAGGTCACAAGCACAAGGTTATTCACTGGGACATGTTTCAGCACTGAAATCCCTCGACTGAGGGCACTCAGGGTCCCTCCCACTTGCTCTTTACCAGCACTCTGGGAAATTCAGGTGTGAACTGTTCACATCATAAAGGTCTTTGAAAGGAAAGAGCACTCAGAAGAAATCCTCTGTCCTGTGAAGTCCCCAGCTGCCCGTTGGGGAAGGTCAAAGCCCAGCAGGTGAGGAACAGCTCTGTTCAGAGGGGATCACACGCAGGGCTGGTCGCACGCAGGACCTGCCACCTTGGCATGCAGAGCTCTGGCTTGCAATAGAAAAAGTCCTAAAAATGGGTCAAGCAAATCGCAGGACTGTTTTACCCCGAAGCCACATTGGCCTGAGCACATTGCAGCTCCCTAAAGGAGGAGGCAGGGAGCAGCAGCAGAAGGGCCTGGGCTGGAGTGTGGCCACTGTGCCACAACCTTATTGCTATTCCCAAAGAGGATGTGTGAGATCACTCCTCTGAGACCCACTGGCAGCAGGCTTTATTGTCATTCTCCTGGGTGCCACAGTGATCTGCATCCTAATTTCCTATTTTCTGTTTTTCTTTCGGAAAAAAAAGAATTAGAGCAAGAAGAAGAAAGTAAGAGTTAAAGTGAAAACACTCAGGCAAATACCCAGAGAACTGGTCATTTGTCCTGCTTTGAAGGAGCATTAATCACTCACAGCAACCAGCTCTGCACCAACAGCCCCAGTATTAATCCTGGTGGGATGAGGGGATGGAACACACGTTTGACCCAGTAATTGGAAACCTCACTGGCTGCAGCAAACACAACATGGTTTAGCACGAATGCATCCATGTCCTAACAAAGAGAATCTCTTTCTCTAAAATATTTAAATGTATAAATATTAATCTCATCATTTCAAATTCAGCAGTGACAAGGTTTTTGAGGGATATTTTTATGGAAAGGAAACAGGCATTGGGAATAATTACACTGCTGAATTTCACAATTGTGCCCATACAGCACTTCACGGAAGTGTCATGTGTGACTCCATCCCATCAGCAACAACCAACTGCAAAGTCATTTTGGGCTGATCTAGAGCCATCGATAGGGAGCATCTCCCCACTGGACACAGGGCCCCTCACTGCAAACAGTGAGCTGGATGGATCTAAGGATTTCCACTTCACAGGGAAATATCACCCACTGCTAATTCCCTGCTGCCCACTGGTCACGTTGTGCTGAGGGGATGAACTTCCCAGGCTGACAGTGAATTCCTTACTGGCCCTGTTCCAACAAGCCAGTGCCCAGAGCAAGGTCCCACGGGGCAGAGCAGCGAGGCTGCCGGGCCGTGCCCGCGGCCCCTGCCACGCTCACCTCGGGCGCGATGTAGTCGGGAGTGCCGCAGAACGTCTTGGTGGTCACCCCGTCCCAGATGTTCTCCTTGCACATGCCAAAGTCCGCGATCTTTATGTGCCCCTCGCTATCCAGCATCACGTTGTCCAGCTTCAGGTCTCTACAGAGAGAGAGCAAACCCATGACACAACAGACAACATGAGTCTGCTGGACTCCTGAGCTCCAGCTTTGTCTCACACCAGACTCTTTGTAGGATGATGTTTGGGGAAATCAGTAAAAATAAGTCAAGAGATCTGTCAGGATGGAGTGTTTATTTTACTTTTAACCCACAGGAACACCATGCTGGGCACAGTGCTTTGAAGTGTATGATGGAAAATACTCATCTGGCAGGGGATGGATTGAATCGATTTTATTTTTTGCTCCTGTGAAAATCAAAGTGCACTTAAAGCTCCCAGGGATGAAGAATCCCCTACTCAGTCCAAGTCCCTGCCTCACCTGTGCTCTGCTCCCCCATGAAATGCAAACCAGTTGTGTTTCTCTCTGATCCTCACCCACAGAATACCTACCTGTTTGTGGTACCCAGCTCCTTAGAACAAGCTGCAGGGATGGATCCAGCTGCAGAGCGCTGGATCCAACTCCCAGCCCCAACTCAGAGGTGGGTGCTCCAGCCTTGAGAACACTTTTGTAGCAAACAGTACTTTGGTGCAATTTCTACACTCCTGCTGGTTTTAAGGCTGCTTTTTCCAATTATCATGTCAGTGCTTAGAACCCTGACAGGCCAAAGGCAGATGGGCAGGACTATCTGGGATCCAGATTCAGGGGAAGGAAGGAAGCAGGGGCACTGGGGACTGACAAACCTAGAAATCTCTCTGCAGCAGCTGATGGCAAAAAAACATCCCTCATGTCAAGTTTGCTCTACTTCTTTCATCTCCAGCATCGCCCTTTGCAGGGCACTTAATGGTATCTGACACTCATTAGGATGCTCTGCTCCACCCTGGGCTCTGGGAATTCTCTGGAGCAGGGAAGAGCAGTGAACACTGCTTTCAGAGCTAGAGCAGCAGGCTCTGAGCCTGGTCCTGCACGTGGCAGCGCCCCAGCTCCTCTGGGTGCCACAATCATATTGGGGATGGCAAAGGAGATTCGGTGGCTGAAGCAGAAGTGACAGACTCGCAGTGCAGAGCTCGGAACCAGCCACTGGCAAGCGCTTCCTCCAGTGTTGATGGTAAGAGAGAGGTGCCCTGCAGGGGCTGGGAGCTGGTCCAGGCTGCCAGCGAGCATTTGTGTTGTGTGGAGAGAAACACGTGGGACAAGAGAGAACCAGAGGTACCTTCCTATAAACCGGGATAAAGCAGGAGCCTCTTCCAAACCAGCGGCACCTCGAGGCTCCCAGCTCTGTTTGGGTGTGTTGGAACGTGCTGATGGTTGGACTCGATGATCTTAGAGGTCTTTTCCAACCTTGATGATTCTGCCTATAGGCACAGGCAGGGAGAGCCCTGGGGCTGTGGCAAATGGGGAGCCCAGAGCCTCTGGTGGGAGGTCCAGGGGAAGGGAGGAAGGAGGAACCTGCTCACCCACCGATAAATGATGCCTTTGCTCTGCAGGAAGAACAGGCCAATGGCTATTTCTGCTGCGTAGAACCTGAAACAGGAGATTTAAAGGAAGACTGATAATTAGAGGAGATGAATCAAAATGAAAACCTTTCAAACCCGATCACAGTGAGTCAAGCACCTGAAGGCTTTCAGGAACACATCCTGCTCTGTCCAGCTCGCAGGGGACAGGAGCCAAAAGTCACCATTAACACTCAGGTTGGCTGGCCCAGCAGAGGAGCCAACACCCACTGTCCTTTTCATCCCACAGGGAAGGACCAGGCAGAACAGAGGCCTGGTGGAAGCCTCCAAACCTCCCTGCCTTGTGCTTTCATTTACATAATTTTTTTCTTTAGCTCAATTATTTACAGGTGCAATGTACCCCAAAGGTGAGGTGGAGATACCAGCATTCTTGGCAAAGACTTCTCCTGCTTCTTCCCAGTCCTGCTGGTTCCCCTCCCTTTCTGCCCAGGAACTGCACCACAAAGCCTGTGCCTGGGGCTCTGTTTCCAGCCACATGACACAGGTACATCCCATACCTACCCCAAAGGGGCCAAACTACTGCACTTACACAGCGTGGGGCTCCTTGAACCTCCCGACCTGCTGGATCTGGTACATCAAGTCCCCACCATTCACATATTCCATCACAAAATACAAGCGATCCTAAAGGAAAAAAGAAGCAATTAGCAACAGAATTATCAGAGCAGGGAATCTGCAGGGGCCAGAAACAAGGGCTGAGGCGACTGGCAGCTCCAATCTGTATTTCCATGGCAATACAGTCATCATCCCTGTGCTCCCCACGAGGTGCAGGGGGCTCATGGTCATACAGAGCCCACAGGTACTGATTCCTCTGCAACACTCGGGACTGAAGCTCTGCGGGTCTGCAGATAGATCTGCTGGAGAAGGCAAGTGGAGGAATCCCTAAACCAGAGGATTTCACCTCCCAGGAATACATTTGCTCTTCTTCACGGAATCTGTTTTCAGAGAGTCAGTCAGGCAGCTCCTTGCTGGCATTTCCCCACGCCCTGCATGGCTTCAATCCACTGCACAGGTCTGCAGGGGATCCAGCTGCCCCTGATCAAGCTGGGGAGGCAGGAAGGAGCTGCACCCCCTTCTCCTCACTCCTCCCAGCCTGGTCTGAGGGGCCACTTCATGTTCACACGTGGTTAAATGAGACCAGAGGAGTTCAGAGATGCTCTGAGGGCTGGAGCCCTCTGCTCTGGAGACAGGCTGGGAGAGATGGGGGTGTTCCTCTGGAGAAGAGAGGGCTCTGGGGAGACCTGAGAGCCCCTTCCAGTGCCTAAAGGGGCTCCAGGAGAGCTGGAGAGGGACTGGGGACAAGGGCATGGAGTAACACGTGCCCTTGACACACAGGAGCCAAAGGACACCCCCAGGCTGGCCCCATCCCAGCTCACGGAAGGAAGGACACAGAGGCTGGAGCACTGGGAGAGCTGCAGGTTGGCAGCTTTACATAATAGTTCATAATATTTCCTCATTTCCTCCTTAAATAAGCCTTGCCCTGCTTTTCAGACAGGAAGGACAAGGAGATGAGAAGAGATGCAAATGGAGCACTGCCATAACAAGGGCTATGCAGGAACTGGGGCCATCAGCTCCAGCACTCCACAGGGCACATCGAGCCTGGTGATGCCCGGCCAGAGGAACTGGAGTCATTGGCTCCTGCCCCCTGGCACAGCCCACCCGGACAGCGGGGTAGCCCCAAAGGGAATTAAACAGAGCACCAAAGGGGCAACTGGGCTGTGTAAAACACCTGACACTGATGGGACAGAAGGGCAAGTTCAGTCTGGGGATTTCGGAGCACCCCATCTGTAAAGGACTGCCCCTGCCAGGCTCTGGCCAGCCCAGCGGGGAGGCACGTGCAGGCAATGTCACCTTGAGCAGCCACTGCCACGGCAGGCAGGCTGTGACAGCCACGGGAGAGCAAAGCAATGCTGTGCTCGGCTGCAGCTGCTTCCTAAATATATCGATCAGCTTCAAGAAGGAAGAATATTAAAAAGACGGTCTCTTGAAACAGCCAGCTGAGCTCTAAAAGCAGGAGCTGAGCTTTCCTCATTTGGGTGGGGAAGGGAACGCTGGTGCTTCAGAGAAAAATGCCATGAGCAAAGCAGGCAGATGGCTGGGCAGCCCACGGCTGGGAGGGAGGGATGGATGGGCACAGAACGCTGTCCTGGCTCCTGTCGGAGGCAGAAAGGACGGCGTCTGTCCAAGTCTGGAGCATCCAAACTCACTGAGCAACAGCACGGTTTGGAGATGTAAATCCCACTGCAGAGCCTGGCGTGGAGCTGGTGACACCCCCCTGCACTGGGCAGACAAGATGCAACTCCCAGGCTCCTTCCAGTGCCCTTCTCCTAATTAACCACCCATTTAGTCCATCCCCTGCCCGGCTCCATGCTGGGAACAAGCGGCAGTGCCAGAACAGCACCCACCCTCCCCACCCACCCCCTTATTAGACACTAGGCAGAAATCTGCCCCTGGGAGGGTGGGGAGGCCCTGGCACAGGTTGCCCAGAGAAGTTGTCACTGCCCCATCCCTGGCAGTGTTCAAGACCAGGTTGCACAGGGTCCCCATCCATGGCAGGGGGTGGAACTAAGTGATTTTTGAGGTCCCTTCCAACCTAAACAATTCCAGGATTCTGTACTTTGGTGATTTATCATCTCAATGTTGCTGCAGCTGCTGTGCCCCAGAGGGAATCAAGGTGACCAGTGAAGGCATAGCTCACCTGGGGACACCCAGAGAGCCCTGGCTCACACCCCTCCCTGGAGCAGGATCTGACTGGGATCTCTCGAGGCAGAGCACCCCAGGACATGCCAGCACAGTCACCTCTTGCCCTTCAGCCCCAGGCAGGAGCTCTCTCTCTCTCTTATTGCTAATCTTCACTTTTCCTTTAAAACACAGATTTAGGGCTCGTGTCTCTCCCGAAGCCGCTGAGCCAACAGCCTCGGCTGAGAATTGTGCTCTGGACTGTGCTCCCAGAAATCAGAGTGCTTTGTGCCAGCCTTTGATAATACACCCTGCTATACATTTTGATTACATTACAAATACGATTACTATTAAGCTACTATAGGGTCTGCCAGGAATAATCCCGCGCTGACTCACTTCAGATGCCAGGGAGATGCCGTGTGAAATAGCTGCTCCTGCCACATCCTGATTACTGTGCTGCAAAGCCAGGCCGCAGGCTTTAAACACACTCAATGTGTTTGGTAAATGAAATTTCTGGAATAATGTTAAAATGTAATCCTCCTGGAAAGCATTGTCATCGTTCTAAAGGACTCTGCTGATTCCCTCTCCTGGCTCCCGCTGGCACGTACCTGGACATTCTCATTCACAGGCTGCTCAAGGGCTGGGCAGGGATTGTGTTAAAGGTCCCCTGTCCCCCTCTCCACTCTTGACTCATCCAAACACAATCACATGCCACTGCAAACTGGATTTCCCGTGGTTTGGATTAGGTTTGTCCCTTTACTCAGGGTTCTGATCACAGGGACGAGTCCTGGGAAAAATTGCAGCACTTTGCAATTGAATCACAAGGGACGTTGTGGGCTGGGGGTACCTGAGGGGCTGGGAAATCACTGCTGACACCATGAACAGCTCCCTGATGAAAACACCTCAGGGGAGTGCAGCTACTGCACATTCCACTCTCATTTCACTCATCCACATTTTGTCATGGAGACACTTTTGCCAGAGAGCTGGACAAGCTGTGAGGTTGCCAAGGCAGAGAACACAGGGCTGCTTTGGCAAGAGCAGTGATGTACAGAGAATCAGGGAATCCCAGAATGGTCTGTGTTGCAAGGGACCTTAAAGATCTTCCAGTTCTACCTCTGCCATGGGCAGGGACACCTTCCACTAGACTAGGTTGCTCCAAGCCCTGCCCAGCCCAGCCTTGGACATTATTGCAATCCATTTGCCAAGAGTCATGCTCCCAGGGCTCAGGGTCCACAGTCCCTCCTGCCCCTTGCCCAAGGACAAGCTGTAGCAGCAGCACCTACCATCGTCTGGAAGCAGGAGTGGAGCTGGGTCAGGAATGGAGGCTTCCCAGAGAGAGCCAGGACGCGTTTTTCCACCATCGTGCACTCCACGTCATCATCCTGGATCACAACGTCCTTCTTCAGGATCTTCACAGCATAGAGCTCGTCTGTGCCCTTCCTCTCCGCCAGCATCACCTACACAGGGGGAGGATAAGTGCAGGATCAAGGGAAATGTGGATCTTAAATTCCTTGACCTTAAATAGTTAAACCAATGGCTTGCTTATTATCCTGTGGCTCCTGTTACAACCCTGAGAAGAGCTTCAGGTGCCAAACGATGCAGAAAGCTATCAGGGTATTGCCAAAAGCATTTAGGGACAACCAGTCTAATGAGTAACAAGTCTACTACTCCCTCACCACCTCACTGCCTGGAGGAGTCCAGCCCAAGGGTTTGCTGATATCTGAGCCCAGCTCACCCTCCAGCACCCCTCACCCCTGAGTAGGGCCCAGTTCAGCCCCCTTGGAGTGTCACCAGCACTGGGGGAGGGTGCTAGGAGTCTGAACACAGAATCCATCAAATTATAAACTGGTAAAAATATAAAGTGGAAAAGAGTGAGTCTATAGTGAATAGTAAGGCAAAAACCACACAATTTTCTCTGCCTCACCCTGCCCCCCAGCAGTGACCAAACCCCACTCTGTGCGGGTCCATCCCCCAGCCAAAGCCCCTCTCAGCCAGAAGAATCCCTCCAACCTCTCATTTCAAACCAGTCTCACCCATTTACAGGTTTATTTATTGCAATAAATGAGATTCACTGCTTCTGATGGTGCAAATCCCCTGGGTTAATCCCATCAGCCCAGCGAGGGTCCCCATCCCGACCCACCACGCTCCATCAGCCTAAGCTGCTCCTTGTGCTGCCAGCAACACAAACCGACTCTGAAACCACACTTTGCCTCCCATTTTCCCTCTCACACTCTCTCATCACATTAGATTGGAGCACTGGGTGGAAATGAATTGCTTTTCATTTGAAGGAGTCGGCAGAAATCCTCCAGTCACATTGGGAACAGCAGCTCGGGGGTTTTGGAAATAAATTATGTGAAGTCAACATCAATAGGGTGGAACTGAAATGCACTTCAGGCTGGGGCAGACTGGCAGAAGACACACAGGCGGCTCTCAGGATGACTTTTGAGACTCTAAGGACACCTGGATTAACCCTCTTGTGTTTCAGCCCTGTCAGAGCTGCCCAGGGCAGGGGTGGAGCCCCATCCCTGGAGGGATTTAACAGACTGTGGATGTGGCACTTGGGGACATGGGTTAGTGGTGGCATTGGCAGTGCTGGGGGAAAGGCTGGACTCGATCTCAGAAGGCTTTTCCAACCTCAGTGATTCTGTGATTCTATTCCATGGCACAGCCCAAGGACCAGGGAGGAGGCAGGGGCACAGCCCGAGGACCAAGGTCTTCATTCCCACCCCTGTGTTTGAGTGGAAGAAGCAGTGGGAGAGGGAACAGCCCCTTCCGAGCACGCGGCTCTGGCTCATCCCGGCGCTTGGCTGTGGCCCTGGGGAGCTTGGCTGTCCTTGACATGCTGCTTGTCAGGATTAGCTGGGAATGGCACTGGGGCTCCTCAGAGCCAAGAGCTCTGGAAAGGCGCTGACATTTCCATTTCCACCAGCGGGGCGGGGCTGCAGCGGTCACACACGCCGACTCATCCCTGGCAGGGCGGAACCGTGGGCTGACGGCGTGGCAGGGACCTCGGCAAGGATTTATTCACTCGCCGGAGCTTGAAAAACACTGTGAACCCAGAGCAGCTCCTTGTGCTGCTGGGATGGAACCCAGCAAGGCACAGGCACTGGGACCAGCTCTGCGCTTCAGCTTTTCCTTCTATCAATTCTCTGAGATGTTTGCAACAGCCCCTTGCACCACACACAGGCACGGACAGACGGACACCCTGCCTGCAGCCACGGAACAGGAACGACAGCACAAGGGGGAACAGCTTCACTCTGACAGAGGGCAGGGTTAGGTGGGATATTGGGAAGAAATTCCTCCCTGGGAGGGTGGGGAGGCCCTGGCACAGGTTGCCCAGAGGAGCTGTCGCTGGCCCATCCCTGAAGTGTCCAAGGCCAGGTTGGACGGGGCTTGGAGCAGCCTGGGCTGGTAGAAGGTGTCCCTGCCCATGGCAGGGGGTGGAACTGGATGATCTTCAAGGTCCCTTCCAACCCAAACCATTACATGTTTCTCTGCCAGGGCAGCAGACACAGCTGCCTCACGTGGAGTCTGCACCTCTGTCCTCCCTTCTGATTCTGCCCAAATTGAAATGTTTCGGTTCATTGCCTCCATTTATCACCATTTTTACACAAGTTGAGCTTTACAAGGTGCTGTACACAGGTGCTAAAACCAGGGCTGCTTTCTAAGTGATAAAAGCAGACAGGTTTTGCTGTTCAAAGTTGGTGGAAAAGAAGAAGCAACTGCTCCAACAATACAGTTTGTGGGAAAATTAACCCTGTTACCTGGGAGTAAGGGCATTATACACAATATTAGTTATATACAGACCTGCCCTGCTATCCATAACCCCTTCAGAGGAAAATTAATGAAACCAGGGAGCCTCTGAGTCTGGCATCTGCTGCTGCCCTGAAGGGACCTGGCGGGGGATGTGGCTCCCAACCCCCTCTGCAGTGAGAGGCAGAGGCTGGGTGGGTACCACCACAAACACAAAAAACCGCTGCAGGGCATCCACAGGCTGTGAATGCTTCATGCAGCAGCTTCCCAATGACACTGCAACCCCGAGCACAGCTAAGCCAGCCCTGCTTCGCTGAGATGTGAAAGGCAGAAGGGCCCTCCCAGCTGCTGAGACTCAGCCGGGTGACACACATGGGGGAGCGGTCGGCAGTGAGCTGTGTGCCGGGGAGGGCAGGGGTGGTGGAAACCACCCTCTGCTCTAGTCCTCAATCACATCTGGGCTGTATTCCCCTCTCCTGCATTAAAGAATCACAGAATCATTTAGGCTGGAAAAGACCTCCAAGACCATCAAGTCCAATTTACGAGTGATCCTCACCTTGTCCCCCAGCCTGGAGCACTGAGTGCCACGTCCAGTTGTTCCTTGAACACCTCCAGGGATGGGGACTCCACCACCTCCCTGGGCAGCCCCTTCCCATGCCTGACAGCCCTTTCCATAAAGAAATTCTGACATCCTCCTGATGTCTGGAGGCGTTCAAATACCAAGAGATGCAAACAGGCCAGTGCCCCAGCACAGTTGGTGATGCCCTGACCAGAGCCATGCACAGGGGGTGGCTGGTGACAGAGGGAGCAGGTACCCCACCTCACCCAGCTGTCAGAGACTGGGTCTCTGCCCTCCTGCCACACTTCACACAGAGAGGAGGCATTGCACAGCTTGAAGATTATCACAGCACACGAAAACTGTCTTCCCTTGCACTGGAATCCAGAACTGCAGCGGCCAAAGGCTCCACCCTGCTCAGCAAAACACCAAAAAACCCCCCAAAAGCCTGACAGCTCGAGAGCATGACAGATTGATTAGCTGCAAAAATATGAGCAAGCCACCTAATTTCATTTTCCTCTATTTATATTACAGCAAAGCAAACCCAGGGTGGGCTGTGCCAAGTGCTGCCTCCCTCCATGGGAAGGTCTCCCTGCCCGTGCCAGCCCATGGAGTGCTGCCACCAGCCACAGTCCTGGGGGCTTGGGGGGACTCACGGCCAGGGAAGCCCAAGGAAACCCCAGAGCACCCAGGAGCAAACAGGGCCACAGTCCTGGGGCTGAATGCACCAAGCCAGGATTGTGCACACCCAAGCCCCTGTTTTCCAAACCAGATCCATTTTCCATCCCCTAAACTCTGCTGCCTGGCTCGGGGGACCTTCATCTGCCAGCACACTCACTGGGAAGCAGATTGCATTATTTTCTTTTTTTTTTTTTTTTTTTTTGTGCAGAAAAAAGCTGATATTTAATTTGATTTATTCCTGTAATATAGAGTATTTGTTTGGGAATGCTTCAGCATAAAAACTGGAGATATTCTGAACGTAGAGAAAGCAAGTTTGTTAAACTCCACTGAGGCCAATACTGGTGCTCCTGACCTGGACAGCCTGAGTGCGGAGAGAGGAAAATACTGAGCAGTGAATGCGAGATCCTGATGCCAAAGAGTTAACAGAGAGAGACAGAGACTCACTAAAATAGAGCGATTCTAGTCCAAGAGCTCTCACAGCCAGCAGGGACTGGGAGGAGGGAGGCTGGCAGCAGGCAGCCAGCACAGCAGCAGGCAGTGCCAGCCCCAGAGAGGGCAGGACACAGTGCCAGCCCTGGAGAAGGACGGTGATGCCATGAGCACACAGCCTGGGCTGGGGGCCTGCAGGGAGCTCAGCCAGGGAGCTGAGCTGCTCTGGGCCCTCCTGCCCACTCTGGGCTCCCCTGCCCACTCTGGGCTCCCCTGCCCGCTCTGGGCTCCCCTGCCCGCTCTGGGCCCTCCTGCCCGCTCTGGGCTCCCCTGCCCCTGCCCTGCAGACAGCGGCACTCGCTCCATCCCTGACACGAGGCAGGTACAGATGCCCCTGTGTTGTGCCAGGCCTGCGTCCCCAGCAGGTACAGGTGCCCCTGTGCTGTGCCAGCCCTGTGTCCCCAGCAGGTACAGGTGCCCCTGTGCTGTGCCAGCCCGGCGTGCCCAGCCGGATGGTGGGGCAGGGGGATGCCTGCCGTGGGGAAGCGCAGGCACACGTGAGCGCGAGGCTGCCTCCAGCCCCAGAAAGCAATGGTGCTGTTTTAATTAGTGCTAATTAGCATATTTATAACATGCTGTTCCAGGGAACAGTTGCTGTCACACATTCCCTTACATAAGCCGGGAGCCGACTGAGGAGCTCGCTAATGTTTCTCCAATGTAAGGAAAGGGGGCGGGGGGGTACACGACGCACAGCTCCAGTCTCCAGATGCCAGCACGGAGCTTAAAAGGGATGAGGTGTTGGGAGGGAGGGAAAGGGGACACGGATATCTCTCTGTGTGAGCAGCACGGGCTCCCCAGGATGCCAACCCACAGCACAGGGGTCTGACGGCGAGTGCTGGGCAGGAACCCCAGGCTGATGCTCTGGGTGCCGGGGACCATCAGGACTTCCCTCTGTTTTCCACCTGTCAGAGGTGTTTCCATGGATCTCTGAGCTCTCTATCTCCAGAGGGGGAGCAAACACCAGGAGAGAGACAGGGACCTCCCCAAGCTCCACGACCATCAGGAGAAGGCTGGGAGAGGGAAGGGATGTCCCTGCTGCACCCCTGTGCTCAGGTGACGGGGGATCATCACTCCCCTGCACACCCTCCTCATCTTCACTACCTGCCTGTTGCCAGAGCAGTATTCCCTGCACTTAAGGGGGAATTCACTAATGAGAGTGGTGTTGGGCCAGTCATCACACCAGCAGACACCAGGCCAGCATCCAGAGAGAGCCACCCACCTCCTGTGGAGCCCCAGCAGCCCCTGGAGCACTGGGATCCCAAATGGAAATCATGAGAGAATTGGAAAGACCCCAAGAAAAATGAAGGCTCTGAATCACATAATTATCAGAAGAATGAAATTCTGTTACCACTCATACCCAGTCTGGGAAGTTAATTAAAATGTTCCCATATATTTGTAATTATTAAGAAAAAAAAGGCCAAACAAAAAAGAGCTTTAAAGACACAGCTCAGCCCCCCCACTTCCCAAAGTGGGGCAGATGGTTTTAGTGATGGTCTCATCAGACACCTCAGGTGTTCCCTGCTGTGATCCAGAGGGAGCCAAGCTGGGCTCTCAGCACCGTGACACCAGTGCTCCCAGTCAGAGCAAGGACAGGTCACACTGCAACAGACAGTGTCAAGAAGGATGGGGTTCCTCACCTTCCCAAAGCTTCCTTTTCCCAGCACCATCAGGAAGTTGAAGTCTGAAAGCTTCATCCGATCTCTGCTCCCATTGTTGTCAAATTTGGAAATGGCATTTCTTGTCTTCTCGTCCGCAGCCTTGGACCCGGTTCCGATCTTGGCTCTCTGCAAAGGTGGACGTGGCACAGGGAGAAAAGAAAGAACAGTACTGAAAACAGCAGGGAGAAAGGGTATTATAAACCCAGTGGATGCTCCCAAAATCCCACCTCAGTCAGCTCTTTCTCAGCTCAAGCACCACCCCGAGCTTTGGGAACCTTTTCCGTCAGCGTGACAGGGACAGCACCAAGAAGGGCACTGGAGGAGTTACCAGCCCTGGCACACAGCACTGATCAACTGCTTCCCAGTCAAGCCCTGCTAGAGCAACTGGGAACCACCTCTGCCCATTGTCACCCCTCTCCTCATGCCAGCAGGTAGCCTGCCATGCTGCCCTGCCCCATGCTCCAGGTCATCCAAAGCATAGAACATAGGCTTAAAGAAACTTTTTTCCTCAAAACAAGCTTCTGTCTCTCACCTCAGCAGAAAAGGATGGGTGAATATCTCACAGAATATTCTGAGTTGGAAGGGATCCACAAGGATCAAGTTCAGCTCTTAAGTGAATGGCCCATAGAGGGACTGAACCCATAACCTTGGTGTATATAAATATATTAAATAATATATATAAATATATAAAATAATACATATTTTTATCCAGCTCCACCTCCATTACTCCCCTTATGGGTCCCTTCCAACCTGAGATATTCCATGATTATATCTGATGTTGAAGAGAATCACACTCCTGTGCCAGTTCAGGTTGAACATAGGAAGTCCCAAATCTATTTGGAAGAGCAGAGAACAGACAGCCCCCCTCTCGCACCCCCAACCCCCTCACAATCACAGCTGCTCACTGAGAACCCCCACAACCCCCCCTCTTTAAACACCAAACCCCATCACTGTCCTGGCATCTCCTCCCCAGGCCAGGGGCTGTCTGCTGTGCTGAACCACTGCTTGAAAAAGCTATCTCCCCATTTATTCCCTTTTAATTTATAGAACTCTGAGGCAGTGTGAGGCCTGTGCCGAGCTCAGCCTAGCATGAAATTCCATTAACCCGATCCCGGCGGTTCAATTTGGCTGCTGCTGGCAGCCCCTCCAGATAGCACCTCACGGGTAATCTCAAGCCTTTGCTGCTGCTAATTGGTTCTCACAAGGTTCTCCCTGCTGCTGAATTCCCCACTCAAGGTCACCTGCAGCACCTATGAGCATCTGAGAAGCTCCTGCCCTGAAAAGCAAAGGAATGGTCCGTGGCAGTTCCAAGCAGCATTGGTGTGAGCACAGCTCTGCCCTGGGAAGAGCCTGGAACCCAAGGATGGGACCTGCTGCTGTCAGTGGAGCCACACACATCCTGTCCCAATGGGAAAATATTCACATAGCGAAGAGGAAATGAAGCCATGTCTCCCAAAGCATGAGGGGTTTCCTCAGAGTCATCTTTAGGCTTTTCCAGTGTCCCCAAAAGACAGGGATACCCAGACAGGCAACCAAAGGGCTCAGGTGACCAACAGCAGCTCTGACACAGCCAATCGTGTCCCATTGAACCCAACCAAATCACAGAATCACAGAATGATTTGGGTTGGAGGGGCCTTAAACATCCTCCAGAGAGGATGATCAAAGAAGAGGAAAGAGGGTTTTCATTTGGTCCATCCCAGCAAACCATCCAGCCTCAGGCACAGCACCAGTGACACCGGCTGAGCACCCGGCACCCAGGCCTGGGGGTGTCTTGGGGTCCCTCCTGAGGCTGTGTCTGAAGAGGGGCCAATTCAACCCCAGCCAGCCCAGCACCTGACCTGACATGCAGCACCACAGTATGTCCAGGAAGACCAGATGAGGATACAAACACAATGAGGCTTCCCTGATAGAGCAGGCTCAGCGTGTGGCTTAGCCAGGAGGGGGAAGGTCTTCCCAGAAAAGAGCCCAAAATAAGAGCTGGGGCAATGTAACAACCAGCACCCCCAAAGGGAAGGGTCTTGCTTCTGCTGTCAAGAGTCTCTAAGGTCCCTAAGTGAACACCAACGTCCTGTAACCTGTTTTTAATGCACTCCTAACACCTCCACAATCTCAAGACCTCTCTGAGGTTTACAACCGAAGCGTGCCAAGTATTGCTCACTAATTTTTTTTAAAAAAAGACCTTGACCTTCCTTATCCAACTCCATTTGTCACAGCTAATTTGCTACACCTGAATTTATGCAAGAGCAGCTGACATGCCCATCTCCCCAGCTGTCCCAGTGAGCGGAGCTGGCAGGGCTGTGGTGCTGGGATGCGGCACAGGCTCCACGCTGGGCTCCTCTCCCATCTGCTGGGATGTGCTGGCTGGGGCATGGCTGCAGGAGGCACAGCAGCACCTTGCTCAGGCTGTGGAAAGGGGCATGGCTCTGGCAGCAGCTCCACAAGCTTCCAGGCAGCTCTGTGTCACCCAGGCTGGCACTGTGCCCTCCCCCCAGCCAGGCTCCAGCACACTCCACTCCTCCCTCCCAGAAGCAGCATGAGCCATGGCCCAGCTGGAAGGGGATCCCCTGCCTGGAACACTGACTTCCTCACAAGGGAGGAGGGGAGACACAGCAAGGTGAGGGCACAGCTGTGCTTTGGCACCTCTGGACTGGGTGTTTTCTGATCTGTAGAAAACTCACCATCTGACCTCCAGCACACCATTTTAACACCACTGGAACATCATGAAATACAACAGAAGACAGTTGTTAGTTCTTTATAGAGCCAACAACCCTTGGTTGTAGCTAACTGTTGGATTAGAACTGTCTTTTCTTGTATATTCAGGAAAGTTGTACATAAATAAGATAAAAAAGGAAAGGAGAACTCCAGTCTCTGCTGCAATTATGGAGTTCATGCTGACAACCATAAGGGCAATTCTTTTATGTATGGCTCATTGCATGCAAGTCTCCAGATGTACCATGCTCATTCCCAAGGTTCTGGGGAGACTTTAGCTACACTGAGAAATGGCAAAGACCTGTTAATTCAGCAATGTCTGGATCAATCATTCAGCAAGATCTTCCATGGCTTATTAAGCAGTAAATAGACATTTCTCCTTGGAGCCTCTGTGGGGAGTTGGACCCTACTCCATGTTCCCTGAACTGCCAGGGAAGGAGCTGGCAGGGAAAGCCCCTCACCCAGGGCACTGCAGGCAGGCAGCAAGGAAAACCCCAGAGCCCAAGAAAAATCAATTCACCTCAAATTTCTGCCTCAGTTCCTCGTTTCCTTCTTCTCCCTCGGGAGGCACTGGGACGTTGAAATACTCCCCCTCCTCCTGGCTCAGCAGCTTAAACCTGGAGGGATAGGGAGAATGTCGGGTCAGGATGGCAGGTGGGCAGGACCACAGGCAGGACCTCACCTGTGCTCCGAGCATGGCATCCAGGTGAACCTTCCCCGAGGTCAGAAGACCCCCCCAAACCATTGCCCTCAGCAAGCCCCAGGCCCTCACCCAGGAGGAGGGATGTTTCTGGGTCCCTCACTGTACTGGGGACCCCCTCAGCCCAGGGAGCACATCCACTGCCTGCTGAGGCGGGCACACAGAGCACTGACGTCACTCCCAAATGAATCCTGACCCCAAAACCCACAGACAAAAGCAGGTCTTTCTGGTGATGGTCACAGGCACAGGCGTGGGCAAACCCCCCCTCCATCAGCTGCCCCCCAAGGACAGCACGTGGAATGTGCCAGTGCCAGGCTGGTGCTGCCAACCCTGAGAGCACAGACAAGATGCTCCTCTAAAGAAGGAAAAAAGCTTAAGCAGCAATTACCAGAAATCATGGAAATGCCACTCAGATCCGAGGCATTTCACCCCACGAGGGGAGAAGCCCAGCTCTGGCAGCAGAGGCTCTGCAGCCAGGAGGGTTCTCAGCTGGGTGTTATCCCAGAGGCTGCTCCGAGCAACAAAGCCCTGTCTGCATAACACAGGGACAGGCTCTGCCTTTGAGCTTGTTTTCTCCATTAACTGCAGTTGTTTAGATATGAAATATAGATCAGAGCTCGTGCTCCTTCTCCAGTTTACTTCAACCAGTGCCGTGACAAGGAAAATTACTTAGATCTCCACTTACATGGTTTTTAAAAGGCTGGAAAACGCTCAGGCTTTGGGCTGCGTCAGAAGCCAGCAGCACATGACACACATGCACCCTTACAGGTGACTGGGAATTTGGGGGGAAGTGACAGCTCCCTGCTGTTTTCCAGAAGAGGAGCCATGTCCCCATCAGGGTCTGGTTGGTGATGAGGAGGCTGAACCCTGGCACGTGTCACTGTGCTGTACCAGGTGCTGCCCACCTCACCGGGGGCAGGAAGGGGCTGGACAGTGACAGGAGCACCCCCAGCTCTGCCCTGGATGTGCCAGGGTGGGGGCAGTGGGTGCCTCCTCCAGTCCCCTCATGCATTTCCCATCTCTCTCTGGGTACACAGAATGCCCAATTCCTCCTCCTCCTCCTCTCCATTCTCTGCTCAAAGGGAGACGCATCCAGCTTCTATGGTGGGAAAATACAGTCTGGGGCATTCACTCAGCTTGTGAATGCAGATTAATAACGTGCAGGGGTTGGTTTCCAAAAGACATCTAATATCTCTTTTCAATTATTACACTCGCCATGGACAGGTAACAGCTCTCAGGCACCAGTGCCCGGGGAAAAACAGGGAAATAAGGCACTGTGTGTCCTGCTGGGGGAGATAAAATGAAAATGGAGAGACCCATTCAGGGGTGTTACAGCCCTGCTGTGTTCATCACTCGTGTGCTAACGAGCGTTGGTAATTACACACTTTGGTGGTTCCTCCTTGGACTGAGCCGTGCCCCCCGCACAGGCACTGCAGCCCACGTGCCCCAGCCAGGAACCACAGCTCCAGGGTGTCCCCAGCACCACCCCCTCACAGCCCTGCTCTCCCACGTGCCTGAGGCAGCCACAGAGCCTCCCTGGTACAGAAACTGAGGGAATCCAAGCAGAAAAGGCTGGAAAATGCTTCCTTGGCGGATGATGGCAGGCGATGCTGGCTCCTCCCAAAGCCCACGCAGTGAGAGCCCCCAGGAGCACCAGCCCCTCAGGCAGAGCAACCCTGGGGCTGCGAGGGGAGTCTGGGGCAGGGAAAAGCCCCACAGGACCCCTGAGCAACCCTGCAGGGAGCAGGAGGACACACAGAAGGGACTCCTCTGGGCACCCCATGGACACCACAGCACCAGCCACCCTCTCCAGCCTGAGAGGTGGAGCAGCACCTCACACAGAGCCAGGACAGGCGGGCCTGGAGCAGGAGGAAGCTGGCACGAGGGGCTGCCACGTCTCTCACCCCTACAGACCACCCGGGCTGCTTTCTGCCCATGGTGTTTCTGAAACAATTACATCTTACCATCCATCCACTCCTGACTTCTGCAGCTCAGAGATCCCAAAGGACAAGGAGCCCATGAAATCATTCCTGCTGGTCAGATCCCAGTCCCAGATCTCCACAGACAACCGCCTGTCTTTGTCCGCCTCTTTCAGTTGGCTGGAAGAGAGCAAAAGGGACGGTTTGATCCTGGAAGGTGTTGCCACCCCACCCTGTCCCTCCACGCTCTGCAGGAATACAGATGCAAAGTGAAAGGATGGTCCCTGGTGCCTGTTGAGGTCTCCAATATTTAATTGCCCAACCACATCCGACTCACACGGAGAGCACAGAGTTCCTGCCCGAACACTCAGCTTTGATCGGGTCAGGGCAGAGGTCTGAGTGTTTCTGAGTCACTTACTGAATAAAAAGAATCATTTCTCAGTCAAATCAGTTCAGTGCCTCTGAATAATTAAATCAGAGCAAATACAATCACAGTAATTCTCGGGGGTGAGAAAATTCAGTTTAGAAATTTAAACATTTTCCTTGTACTTACAATTTAAATGTCTCGTTCCACTCAGGATTCAGGGAGCACTTGATAGTTTTGGTCTTCTGTTTGCTTTCGTTTTTGGGGTCAGGGATTAGTTTAAGCTTCACGTAGGGATCTGACAAGCCATTAGGGTCCATAGGAACTAGGTTTTTAGCATCTCTTACTGGGGAAGAGAAAAAGGATTAAATTCAGTATTCCAACTATAAAAATACCCGACAACTGACAACTTCCCTGCGTGCCAAGAGTAAGTGTGAAAATAGTGATTAAAACCAGAATTAAACTGGCTCTGTGCAGACATGGGCACTGCACGAGGAACAACACGATGAACGCAGAGCAAACGCAGCTCTCGTGGACGGGGGAGGCTGAGGGGTCGACTCAGGAGATTATTTTTACTTTCTGATTGGATGATTTTTTGTTTGCTCTCCATTCTAAGCAGTTTCAAGCCAATTTGTTTCCTCTTGCCCCTTGGGAAGCAGTACTGCAATGATTTGGTGGGAGCACGGGGATGGAGCTTTCCTCGGAGAGTGGAAAGAGCAGCGTTATCAGCCACGGGCAGGTGAGGGCAGGGACCCAAAGGCACAGTGGCCACATCCAGCACCAACCTCCCCACTGGGCCCCCTCTGGCTCAGCTGCTGTGGCCCTGAGGGAGCAGGGGGATGCCCACAGGGCAGCATCACCCTGGCTCTGGGAGCTGAAGTGTCTCCTCCGGGAAGCAGGAGCAGAGAGGGGAGAGCCAACCTGAGATGACTCGGTTGTTTGTAATTGGATTGCAGCTTGGGCAAATTAAATACAACCAGGCTGAGCTGAGGCTCTTTGCCCAGATTAAGTCAAAAAGGGTCTGTCTGCCAGGAGAAGGGTCTTATCTTCCCTCCAGCCAGAATGGGGATATCAGAGATGGAAAGACTGATGGAGCCAAGCTGTAACCTGTGGAAAAGCTGTTTCAAGGAAGCCCAGAGCAGAGTCCCCCATCCCCCAGGCCCAGTGCACACCCCAGGGCTCAGGCATGGAGGGTTGTGCCATGTTGGGAACAGGAACCCAGTGCTGGCTGAAATTCCACCAGATCCCACCAGCAGCTCCACTGTGAAGGCACAGCTCCACCCTATAATCCCAAGGAGGAGGAGCACAGGACTCTGTGTGTGGCACCACAGGACAGCAGAAGAAACTGTTAGAGTCAGAAGAGTAAAAACAATTGCCCACTTCCTAACTCACCAGTAAGGCACTTCTGATGAGGTTGGGAACCAGAGAGTTGAAAATCAAATTAATGCCCCAAAATCTGCCATCTGATGCCGTCCTGCCGAAGCACTGCCCAATTTCCAGATCCATGGAATCAAACTTGTAGCCAAAATGCAAATCTGCATTTATAAAGGAGCTCATTTATCAAACGTGACAGCCCTGACAGCAGCTCGTGAGACAGGGAGAGGCGAGAGCCTGCTGGGAACCACCGCCTGCCACGGCAGGAGCCAGGCAGCCCCATCCATCCTGCTGCTCCACATGCTCCTCAGGCTCCTGGGCTGAGGCAGCTGCAGGAACCAGAGTCACCTCTGGCAGAGAGGGAAGGAATGACTTCATCCCTGACAGGGGTACACAGTGACCTCGCCAGGGATGCTGTCATAGAATAACTGGATCCCAGAACAGTTTGGGTTGGGAGGGACCTTACAGCTCATCCAGTGCCACCCCCTGCCATGGGCAGGGACACCTTCCACCAGCCCAGGTTGCTCCAAGCCCCTTCCAACCTGGCCTTGGACACTTCCAGGGATGGGGCAGCCACAGCTTCTCTGGGCAACCTGTGCCAGGGCCTGCCACCCTCACAGGGAAGATTTCCTTCCTAATTTCTATTCTAACCCTGCCCTCTGTAAGTTTAAAACCACCACCCCAGGGCTCCCTGCCTGCACCCCCCCCAGTGCCAAGGCACAGGGAACAATGCTCCCAGTGCCCTGCTGAACCAGGGCCTCTCCAAGCCCTCCCCCTCAGCTCCTTCTGCTTTTTATCACCTTCCTGGCCTCAAAATCATCATGAAAATGTGGTTTCAGTGCCCTTGCCCACCTGCAGCACTCAGCTGGGGGAGCCTCAGGGAAAGGGGGGACAACCACTGCCACTCACAGGACCATTAACACTGGGATGTTGTGGCACCAGGCACCACACAGTGCCCACCCTGACGCCAGTGCCTGGAGCAGGACAAGGGGCACAGACTTTGCTGGTGACCATCACCCTCACCTGCCCTGGGGTCAGCAGAAACCACTGAGGACCCTTCAGACCTCCTGTGTGAGCAGCAGAACCAGCCCAGGGCTGGAAGAAGCCGCTGGCTCTGGGGTCTCACACCAGCCAGTGTCCCCTCACTGGCAGGAGATGCAAAATGATGTCACACGGAACGAGCTCCGACTCTGCTCCGTGTTTCACCATCCCAACAGCCAACACAGCATCCTCTGGAGACTAATGAACAACCCTCCATCGTTTATCAGCCCGTCCTTCGCTTCTTTAAGGAACAGGAGAAGTAATTCCTGACCCTCACAGTTAATCAGTTTATGCCCTGAAGCATGAGATTTGATTACCTCATGTTATTATCTCAGCGTGCAGACCTCAAAATTTCATTAATGGGAATAATTTTATCTATTCATTTAAAAAAACAAAATGCTTCTGCTTGACCTTAAGAAACTTTCTAACTTTTCAAGCAGAAATCAACAATTAAGTGGAGGCAAAATAAAAACGTGAAGCAGCACAGCAGTGATACCTCACAGCAGGAGAGCTGTGCTCCTTCCTCTCCAATGTTTATGGAATTTATTTGACAGTTAAATTTGATGTGAAATAGTTTTACATCTGTCATACCCTGACAGTTTTGTGCATCATTAAGAAGTAGTAACATCATTATTAACAGTGATGAGTAAGAATATTACAATCCCATTTAAAGCAGGACTTAAATCACCGTGGGTGCCAAGTGCGGCCAAGGAGATGCCACTGCGGTCTCAGGCCATGGGCAGGATGAGGCTTCCATAAGTCTTGGACCTCCCTGGACTAGGAGGCTTGTGGGGGCAGTGGTGGCAGTGCCCACCTCCTCCACACAATTCCCATGGCAATGGGGACACCACTCCACTGCCGTGGGAAGGAGGTGTCACCTGCTCTGCCTTGCAGGGCCGGGGCAGGCAGAGCTGGGTCAGTGATACCTGAATAACTTACTGTGCAAAATTTGCAACAGCTTCCTAACAAGTGATTCAGACAAGAACCAAACCATTCCAGGATCCTATGGCTCTATGGAAACCCTTCCAAAGCCTGGCTCGCTGCAAGGAGAGGTCAGAGCTCTGGCACCTCATCCCAGCCTGCCACTTCTCTATGGCCGTGCCAGTAGCACCCTCAGTTCCACAGGTCTTGGATGGGATTTTGGAGAGGGAAAGGCTCTGGGGCTGGCCTGCAGCACTCATCTTCCTCCCTCCAGCAGCACACACCATCCCCAGCCAGCAGCAGCCCCACCCCAGTCAGTGCCCAGCACTCAGATGAACACCCTCGTGAGTTAAAACATTTAATTAATGCTCTGATAAGAATATATTTGCACATGCTCATACAATGAAAAAGGCACAGGACTCATTAGGGCTGCATCTGCCTGGGCCGGTGATTATTAATTAACACACTTCCAGCTCGTTTATCTAATCACAGCATAATTGGTTTCAGTTGTGGTCAATGCTTTCCTTCAATCAGCTCAGTAAACAGTGATGCTCCGGTCCCAGCAGCCCCTGCCACGCTGCAGGAGCACCAGGGGCTTGGGCCCGTGGTGCCAACGAGGGGCTCAGCTTTGCAGGAGGCACTGGGGGCAGTGGCACATTTCCAAGACTCTCTCTCAAGAGAAGAGGGAGCCCAGCATGGTCCCCAGGCTCAGCAGCCCTGGCACCAGGACAGGGCACGCTCTCCTTCACACGCTCACGGTCAAAGCCCCTGGACACACTGAGGAGTTTCCATCGCCCAAACACCCCCCGACCCCGCGGCATAAACCCAGCACAGCTTTTCTGCCTCTTCATCCCTCACAGACTCTCTGTCTCTTAGGTCTTCCCTTGTTCACACCATCACTTCCCTGAGAGAAGAGGCGAACACGTGATGGATGCACCGACACGCCACGGGACGGATGCACCTCCCACCCGCGGTGGGAAGAGCCCGCTCCTGCCTGCGGGACAAGAGCCACACAGAGTCCCCAGAGCAACTTCCACCTTGGAGCAGCAACAGCTTTAATGGACTCCCAGCCCAGCCTTCACGTTCTCCCACTCCTCCATTTCCCAGACTCAAATATTCATGTCCCTTAATACGACAGGCTCAGAATAATCTGCATTCGGAAGCTTTTCTATTACAGAAGCAAAAATGCTCAACGCCTTGATGACACTTTAATTTGCTGTGATTTCCCACTTTATTCCTCAGTCTTTTCCCACTAATAAGACACTTGATCAAAGCCCAGAGCAGAACATGGACTGTGAACATGCATTTGCTCCTGCCCCACCTCACTTCTCCCTCCCGCACCAGGGGGTTCAGAGACCCACAGCCCACATTCTAAATATCAGGAAGAAATTCTTCCAGGGTGGGCAGGCCCTGGCACAGGTTACCCAGAGAAGCTGTGGCTGCCCCATCCCTGCAAGTGTCCAAGGCCAGGTTGAATGGGGCTTGGAGCAACCTGGGCTAGTGGAAGGTGTCCCTGCCCATGGCAGGGGGTGGAACTCGATGGGCTTTAGGTTTCCTTCCAGCCCAAACCATTCCAGGAGTCAGTAGTTCTATGAAAATCCATGTCTTCCAATGGGAGGGAAAGATTAGCTTTACAAATAAAGGAAAAAATCGGAGTAAGAGAAAAGAAACCCACAGAGCTGAACAGCATCCAGCACATTCCTGTTACATTTGCCAGGCGATGAAGAAACCAAAGCACCGAGCGGGTCCGTGTTGGCCGTGCCCATGCTGCCACCTGCAGGCACCGGCCCTGCCTGCCAGCACTGCCCTGCCAGCCCTGCCAGCTCCTGCCAGCCCTGCCAGCCCTGCCCTGCCTGCCCTGCCTGCCCTGCCAGCACACGGCCACCAGGGTACCTCTCAGACTTAGCAGCTGGGGTCCTCTCTGCCATGGGAAAGCTCCAAAAATTCCTGGGCAAGGGTCTCCCCACCTGCTGCCACTGCCAGTACCTGTTTTTCCCTGTGCAGCAGGACCAAGGGGGGCTCAGCCCCCCAGCCAGCACTGCCTCTCCACCCCTGCCAGGCTCAGGGGGCTCCACCACCCACCCACCGCCCATCACTGCGCTGTCACTCCTGTTCTCGACAGAAATCCACCCCCTGCCCGCCCCAAACTGAAATTCCTGCAGAAAACGTGTAAAGGGCATTTTCCACCAGAAATCTGTTCAGAGGAATCCTGGCTGCTGCCTCCACCCACTGCCTCCCTGGGCTGGGGCCCCATGGGGCAACTCTCCAGCTGTGTCCCCCTGGGATGGCCAAGGCAGATCCTGCAGGAATTGTTTAGGCTGGAAAATCCCTCCAAGATCATTGAATCCAACTGATCCCCCTGCTAAGGCCACCACTAACCCATATCCCCAGGTGCCACATCCACAGGGCTTTTAAACCCCTCCAGGGATGGGGACTCCAACCCTGCCCTGGGCAGCTGTGCCAGGGCTGGACAGTCCTTTCTGTGAAGGAATTTTCCCAATATCCAACCTGAGCCTCCCCTGGCACAGCTGGAGGCCGTTCCCTCTCCTCCTGTCCCTGTTCCCTGGGAGCAGAGCCCGACCCCCCTGGCTCCCCCCTCCTGTCAGGGAGCTGCAGAGCCAGAAGGTCCCCCCTGAGCCTCCTTTTCTCCAGGCTGAGCCCCCCCAGCTCCCTCAGCTGCTCCTGCTGCTCCAGCCCCTTCCCAGCTCTGTTCCCTTCCCTGCACACGCTCCAGCCCCTCAATGTCCTTCTTGTAGTGACAGACCCAAAACTGACCCCAGGATTCGAGGTGGCCTCACCAGTGCCCAGCACAATATGAGGTGGCTCCATCTCCCACGGGCTGGGTGCCCACCTGTGCTCTGGGGGGCCAGCTGAGCTCCCCAGTGTCCAGCCTCTCCTCTCCCAAAGCACTCCCACTCCTCCAACAGCTCCACAGCAGAGCTGGAGAGCTCAGCACGCTTCCCTGCCTTCTGGAAAAGCCAACAGCTGACATGTTTTCACCAACACCTCCATAAAGGGCCAGAAATAAAACAGCCTTTCAAACCCAGTGGAAAAAATGAAAATCCAGCTGCACAGAATGAGGCCAAGGGAGCTCCTCCCCTGCCTCCAGAGAGGTGGGAACACAGTGCCAGGGAACCCACAGTGCCAGAGGGTGAGCTCTGTGCCCCACTGGCATCGATGGAGGCTGGATACCAGTCCCATCTCACCCCCAGGGGGAACCACAGAATCACGAAGGTTGGAAAAGACCTCCGGAATCACCAAGTCCAACCTTCAAGGAAGCAGCCTGGGAAGCAAGACTTCTGAGAAACAGTTCTGACTGGTTCACTGACACTCTCCTTTAAGGACAAACCAAACAAAAAATAAACTAGAAAATCCTCCACAACTTTTTTCAATTTTTCAATAACATTTTAAGCAACTTGGTATTTTTTTAAAACACTGATGGCTCTGTAGGCCAGAAGGATCCTGGCTCTCCTGCACACTCAGGAGTGGATCACACCTGAGTGCCTCCTTACATGTGGGTGAGGTGACCTATGCCACCACCTGCCCACGCTGGGGCACCTCCCGAGGCTGTGCCCATCATGGCTCACCAATCCCCTCAGCCCCCCATCACCCGGGGGGGCTGGCTGGGGTCACCCCTCCCTGAGCAGAGCAGGGGAGGTGTGGGGGAGCTGGAGCCCTGCTGGGTCATGGCAGTGAGGAGCCAGCCTGGAGCAGCAGGACCTGGGCAGCCCCCGCTCTCCCCAGGGGACCAGTGCCCATCAGAGTGACGAGGAGCAGCACGGGATGCACGGAGACAGCCCCATCCCACGGAACCCAACCCTGGGGGTGTCACGGCATCTCCCGCTGAGGCAGGGCGTGGGAAAGCAGACTTCTCCCAGGGAGCCACCTGGAGCCGGTGGGATGATGGAGAAGGATCCGGGGTTGCCATGGATGTCCCAGCCCGGTGCCCACTCAGGGGCACTGCAGGGGGCACTTCCCATCCTACGGCTTTAACTCAGCCGGAATAACCGCGACAGCTTGGCTGCCCCTGCGGAGACCCAAACGCCCGGAGCTGCCGCTCAGCAGCGAGGGCAGGGACCTCCCTCCCCACCAGCACCGCTCAGCAGCATGGGCAGGGACCTCCCTCCCCTCCAGCACCGCTCAGCAGCATGGGCAGGGACCTCCCTCCCCACCAGCACCGCTCAGCAGCGAGGACAGGGACCTCCCTCCCCACCAGCACCAGCTCAGCAGCATGGGCAGGGACCTCCCTCCCCACCAGCACCGGCTCAGCTTCCAGGCAAACCCCAGAGGGACTGGCAGTGCCGTGCCCGTGGAGAGCAATCCCTGCCTCCAACCCCTGCCCCATGAGACACCCACCACCAGCACCCAACAGAGCCACAGCTCTGGCTTCACAAGGACACAGCTTAATGTTTTGGGGGTCGCTCCCAGGTCGTGGGGGAAGCAATACCTTTTGGGAACTCAAAATCTGGGTGGCAAAAGTCCTAAAAGATGGGATGGTTTGAGGACTGTTTTGAGATTCCCACCGAGACCTGTATGTGCCCAGGTACCATCAAACAGCAGGGAAGTGGTGTTCACCACCACACAGACAGCAGGATAGAAACACCACACTTCCACACGGATAGTTAACAGGAGGAACTCTCTACTCCCCCTTCCCGGGGTCCTGTGAATGCTGAAATTTCACAGCATTTAAAAAGCAGTTTGAAAAATCTGTAACAGTCACAGAACCCCTGGAGGCCCAGGCAGGCTTTGCCAGAGGGCAGGTGCTGCCAGGGGAGCTGTCACACACACGTACCTACGACGGTGAGCACGTCCTTGTCGATGTCCGCCCGGATGTATATCCGCCCCCGGCGCTCCGTGTGGTCCGTCCCGCACAGGCTGGGCACGTTCATCACGCAGCGCTTGTGCACGTTCATCATGCAGGCTGGGGGACACAGGGGACACTCAGCACCCCGTCACCGCTGCCACGCCTCACGGGGCGCTCAGAGGGGTGGGGAGCACCCATCCTCCTCCAGACTGGGATGCTGTGAGGGGTTCTGGGATAAACGTGCAGCAAATGGACCTTCAAACACAGTCAGAGACTCTGCAGAGCCCTGCTGGGACATGGGACCCACTGCCAGCAGCTCTGGGTCCTGCCTAAGAGACCCCAGGGCTCTGAGCCCATTCTCTAATCACTGGAGTTTTGCTGACTCATTAAAATTTTCTTCCATCACACCCAGGGTACAATGCTGGACTCACCAGGAGCCCAAGAAGGGACAATTAAAATTACCTGTGTATCTGTATACAGATACACAAGTATAAAATTTGATATATGTAACACAGATAGATATAAATACTTGTATTTCAAAGCAATCCATTTCCCCTTGCTAAGATTCCCAAGGAATACACTGTTCCCACAACAGCCAAGCTTCTCTATTCCTGAGCAAGGAGCAGCTGAGCTTGCTGCTCCTGCTGGCAGTGCCAGCACGCACTGCGTGTCCCAGGCCCTTTAAATGGAATGTAGAGGATTAACCTGCAAAGTTAGTGATTCCATCCTCTCCCTCTGCTTCCACTGCCCTGTTTTGTCCTCTCTGCGCAGCAATTCCCCCCTGGCAGCGCCAAGCCCCGGGAGCGGCTGCGGCAGCACATGGGCACGGCCACACGGTGTCACTCGGAGCCAGGAGAGCTCCGGGGACCAGAGGGAAACAGCGAGGGCGCTGCAGGGGGACCGTGGGGGGATGCAGGGGAGGATGTGGGCAGCAGGAATGCTGCAAGGATGCAGCGGGGTGGGGGTGCTTCCAGAGGGGATGTACAGAGGGGATGTACAGAGGGGATGCTGCTGCAGTGGGATGCAGGCAGGTTCCCCCCCAGCCCAACACCTTCCCTCTCCCTGCAGCCATCGTGGGGATGCCCCACACCAGGTGAGAAGGTGCCCACTCGCGCCCCTCGTGCCCCCAGCAGCCCCATAGTATGCCCTGCACCAAGGCCAGAGGGAACGGGCTCTTGGCTGCAGCTCAGGTGGGTTGGGAGCCCCTGCCCAGGACCTCGGGGTGCCACAGCCTCCCATGGGGTGCCAGAGCCCCCCTGTGGTGCAGCCAGAGCCACCGGGGCCATCACTTACTGTCACATTTCATGCCCTGGTGAATGAGCCCGTACAGCAACGACCCGCAGTGGTCACAGAAGGTGGGGCTGGAGTACGTGTGGATTTTGAATTTGTGCTTGCTCCGGGGATCCTGGGAGGGAAACAAAGGACAAAGATTATAAACTTACATCAGATACTGGCAAGGCACCCCCGCTCTGCCCATTCCATGTGCCAGCTGGCTCTGCAGGTGCTGCTAATGGACTTCAGTCAACTGCCCCCGACTCGTGGGGACCTTTTCCAGCAATCACCAGGATCCAGCTTTATTCCTCTTTATATGTGTTGCCATAACAATGAAAAAGCAATGCATTGGCTTGTGTGGGGATTTATTCTTTGTCAATAACTCGGTCTGAGCGTGGAAAACACCAGGTGAAATTGGTAGGTACGAACCAACAGAAGGGCTGGACACTGCCCAACTTCCACGCAGAGCGGGACAAACCCCCCACGATTCCATCTATATTAAGCCTGCCCAGGAAACATCTCTGTGCTCCAGTGCCAGCCCTCCCCAGCATGATCCCAGGGATTCAAGCTGCTTGGGGGATACTTTAATATTTTGAGCTTTCTTAAAAGCAAGGGAAGATTTTTCTGAAGCAGAGTGTGCAGACCCAGAAGAGCCCAGTTTATCCCATTATTCCTTGTGCAGGCACCAGGCAAACAGGGCTCCTGGGGCTCCAGCAAAGGCATTTAAAGCCAAACAAACTCAAATCGTAGAATGCTGGAAGGACATTGAAGATCATCATCCCATTCCAACCCCCTGCCATGGGCAGGGACACCTTCCACCAGCCCAGGCTGCTCCAAGCCCTGTCCAACCTGGCCTTGGACACTTCCAGGGATGGGGCAGCCACAGCTCCTCTGGGAAACCTGTGCCAGTGAAATAACCTCCAGAAGGAATAACTTGTCAGTCAGGAGATAGGATGAAGCACTGAGGCAAAGCAAGGACTTGGTATTTCTTGGTATCTTCCATGCATGAAAATACAATTGTGGAAGACCAGGAGAGCCTGGAGCAGCTGGGCTGTGCAGAGGAGGGCTCTGGGGCTCCACACCTCTGGGAGCAGCACACGCAGGCCAGGGGGAAGATTCCAGCACGGAGCAGCTTGATTTCATCTCAGGTTAATTGTTTAAGGGTTAGGGATAAGGCACAGCTCCCGCTCTGTCATTTGAGCTGAGCAGCTTTTTAATGGCCTGGAAAGCTGCCCGGGCATTAGCAAAGACACCTTTTCAGGGCACTGTGAGCAGAGTAAATAAATAAAGAGTGGAATCAGAAGCGAGCTATAACATCGCTGCCAATACACCCTTCCCCCCCAAAATTAATTTCCCAGCACTGTTGCATTGAAGCTTCCAGCTGCATTAATCACCAACATTCTGCTTTGTTACTCAGCACCACAGATAACCCCATGACACCAGCGAGGGGCAAAACTAACAGAGCCTCCTTTAACTCAATCTGTGAAGAGCCAGGGATCAGGTACAGGCTTCAGCAAATTTGTACTGAAACTGGAAATACCTCACCTTCTACCCCAAGCAAACCAGTTCTAGACACAGAGCCCAGTGTGGCTCTGTCTGGCAGCCCCTGTGCCAGCTGTGGCACAGGAAAGCCAAGGGGAAGAAGGGTCACGATCAACCTGCCTTCTAGACATCCCAAGGAGACAGTTCCTTAAGTGACACTGCAGGTTTGAAAGCCTTTTGCATTGCTCAGAGACACAAGGGAGCAGAGCAAACAAAGTTGGATTTTAGGCTAGAACAGGAGGTGGGTGGGGGCAGGCAGCCTGGGCTCGACCTTATGGGATGTGTGTAAGGTTTCTTCCAACCCAAACCATGCTGGGATCCTGTGATTCCCTTGCCACTGTCCCAGGAGAAAGGTCCTGCATCCTGCAGAGCCCCCTGGGCATCAGCCAGCACCCCTGACCCTCAGCCAGCAGGACAGGGGTGAGGGGAACAGGGGGCAGGACGAGCAGCAGCCCCGTGCCAGGGTGTGACACGGGGAGGAATCGCCCCCAGGCACTCCAGCATCTGTGCTCCTTTCTAGAAACAGTCCTGTTTAGGCAAGAGAAAGCTTTAGTCATTCATAAAAAACACAAGCTTTATGCAAAAGGAGACGATTCCCACTTCTGCGAAGGATGTTAAATTCCCACTGGAACCCAGAGTTAAACAAGTCAGAGCTGGAAAAGCAAAGTGTGTGTTGAAGCACGCTGAGTTCCCCAAACCCAGCACCACAGCCCTGTGGGACAGCACCCCCTGCTCAGAGGGGCTAAATCCCTCATGGGAACACTTCAGGCTTCACCTTCTGCTCCCATCTGCCCAAGGGGCTGTTCTGGAGAGACCCACACGCAGAGGGGCAGAGCCCAAAGGGTGTGAGGGTGACGGAGCAGTCAGGAACAGGGAGGCAGAGCCAGTTCTCTGGCTGCTGGGATGTGTGGGGCCCGTGTCACCTTGACCAGTGCCTTAGAAAGTACCAGAAATTGGCAATCATGGATATCATTTTCGAACGAGGCTGAAGTCGCTGTACAAAGAGACTATTTTTGTACCACCGAGACAGGGATGACGAGAACACTGCGCATGCAGATGCTGAGACTTAAAACAAGAATGGTTAAAAAGAAGTTTGCCAAGAAAAGAAAAAGCACTTCTCCTCCCCCACCAGCACAGAGCCAGCCTGAAGAACAGGGCAGGCAAAGCTCTCTTTGGAGCAGGACTGGAAAATGCCATGAGGAGAATGTCAGTGCATGGAGAGACTGCCCTTCCCAACCAGCACTGCCTTGGAGCTGTCACCCCCTGCACCACCCCACCTGCCTGCACAGGGCTGGAGAAACTCCACTGGGGAGAAATAGCTCAAGTCCCAGCAAAAACCAAGCAAAGAAGTTCAGGAACAAGGGCACAAGAGTGTTGGGTCTTCGTTTCAATGAGAAGAGCCACCATAAACCAGAGGAGGTTACAGGCAAGAGGAAAACACAGGTCCTATTCAAGGTAAGACAGCAAAAATTTGGGGCTCCATCAGGTGTCCTTGCCCATGGTAGAGGGTTGAAACTAGATGGTCCCTTCCAATCCAAACCAGTCTGTGATTCCATGATTCTGCAGCATCTTTTCTACCCCCATAACCTCTCCTCAGAAGCCTGCCTCAGTGCCACGGTTCAGAGACAGTTTGACACTGCTGCACCAGTGAGTGACACCAGAACTATTTCTCTGTATTTTACAGCATTCCAACCACAGAGCAGCTCACAGAGCACAGGGCCTGAGGGCACAGCTGTGCAGGCAGCAGGATGCAGGACAGTGGCAGCAGGATGGAGGCAGCTCCTGGGGAAGGGCCAGCGGAGCAGCACGGACACGGCTGCGGGCACAGGCACCACGGCTGGGGCTGCTTCCACATCAAACATAACAAACATAACCTGTCCCTGACAGCTTCCAGCAAGTAAATACATTTTTATTGACAAAAGATCTCATCCTCTCGTCAGACAACTGCAGAGGGATATGGACAACAGTTGTTCTTCTCTTGCTGCTGGCAACACTGAATAAAACGCTTTCCCTTGCCAAGCAGCAAAAAAAAAAAAAAAAAAAAAAGACCAAACTCAGCTTCTCTCCCAGAGCAGCACTTGCATCTCTACATCCTTTAGACATGTCTGGTATCTTGCACACGCCTTGAGAGTCATTTTATTACATCTCCATGAGAATGGGGCTCCCTGCAGCCTCTGGGTGCCGGAACAGCACAGAGACTCCTGAAACACCTCCTGTCTGCAGGACCCCCAGCTGGTGCCACCTGCATGAGCACAGGCTGCAGCACCCACCTCACCACCCTCCTGATGAGGGCACAAACCCACCTCAGACCCAGCCCTGGTACTCTGGAGCCACGGGGAGGGCACAGACCCAACCATCTGCTCCATCAGTAACCAGACACAAACAAGGCGAGGCAACGAGAGAAGAGCTTTTCAATCCCGGGGCTGAAGCCATGTGCAGGCTGCCAGGAGAAGGAGTCGGGCTGTGGCAGAGCCAGGGAAGCACCAGAAGGTGCTGGGAGGGAGCAAGGCAGATACATCTTCATCCCATGGGAACTGTCACCGGCTGCTGGAGCAGCGAGCAGGTGCCCTCGCTTGAGGGGCAGATGGCACAGCACGAGAGCTGGAGAAGTTAATTAGCAGCACAAAATCAAGCAGCAAGTTGCAGGAAGGTTGTGAAGATTTGCCAAAGCGCTGGACAGTGAAGCCCAGAGGAACAGGAGATGTGAGGAGGGAGCAGATCCCGTGCTCTCAGGCAGCACACGGGCATGAGGGTGCTTGGAGTCACCAGGAAGGTCCTGACTCGATGGGCACATCATGGAACCCTTTCCATGAAGAAATTCCTCCTGAAATCCTCTCCTCATGCTGCAAACAGGGACAAACTACAAGCAAAATTAAATGTAGCTACACTGGCCTGTTACCTTCCAAGAGCAACTCTGATATTCATTAATGCATCCTGATTAGATGACCTTTAACAGGATCATGCAAAGAAGGTCACTTTAATGATTATTTTGCCTACAATTTAAATAATTATGCATTCTGCTAATAGCTCTGGCTATAATTAGGTTTGCCAACTGGAATACATTACACATGCCTGATTTCAGCTCCTGGAGACCCCACTGTGGGTCAGAGTGGCCATGGCAGCTCTGCCTGCTGCCAAGACGAGACACAGGAGTGCCCGAGCTGGGAATGAGGAACAGCAGAACTGGACAGGGCAGGCAGGGGTTGGGGCTGCCAGTCCCTCTGAAGCACCTCACCAGTTCTCACTCAGGGAATGCTGGGGAGAGATCACAGCCTGACAGCACCTCAGTGTGGAATAAAAGTCCTGCCCCGACCAGCGTAGCATGAACGCAGCCCGATGTCTGCAGCACCAACAGCTGCAGATACAGCTCCATTCTCTGCTGCAAGAAGCAATTAATCTTTCATTTTTTTCTACTTAGAGCCCTATCATGTGTAATTAGTCCTCTCTCCTAGATGCAAGGCTCCTACTCAGCAGGCTTGGCAAGGTTAAGCACACAACCACGCTCTCGCTCTCTTCAAGGAGGTTCAAACCCAACCAGATCAAACAGAAATCCCCCAAAGTCTGTCCAGTCACCACTAGACAGACTCTGACATTTCAGTGGTCTCCTGATTCTGCTCTGCTCCCCAAGTGTGAAACACCAGCTCACCCCAGGTTATCTGTGCATGCACCAGCCTGCATCCCCCAAAGCACTTCAGCACATCCTGAACTTCAAACTGAAGAGTTTTATTTCAGTAATTAGAATTACACAGGTGTTTAAATGTTCAGACAGACCATAAGCACTGCACGGGGGAAAAGGGTTTTCTTCTTGATTCTCCAGTAACTGTGAAGACACAGAGATCAAGGAGCAAAGTTAGAAGATATTTTTTTAATATACTTTTTTCCCCTGGGTTCCAGGACCAGGCCAGAGGAAAGAGCAGCTCTGGGAAGCAAACCAGGAGCCAGCTGGCACTGTGAGCCCCAGCCCTGGCTGCAGCAGCCCTGCACTGCTGGGCCATTCACTGCTCAGCTCCCTTCCCTCTGCAGCTCAGCAGAACCACGGGGCCCACTGCGAGGTTTAACACATGCAATAAATTAAGCTCCTTATTTCTGCTGGATTCACTGGAGATTCATACTGCTGGAAGAGTTAGCAGCTTGTGGCACCAACCAAAAAAACACATCACTGTCCCCAGCACAGCCTGATGCCACCAGATGTGACATCAGGTGTCTCTGGACTCACACTACTGTTATCAGCGACCACAGAGCGCAGGCAAAGTCCAGCTTTCCATCAGTTCAGAGCAAAGCCCCAGTCCCTGGCTCATTCCAAAGCTGACAGGGCATTGCTGTGTGCTGTAGTTCTCCCTCTCCTGATTCAAAGCTCCTTAAGGATTATATGATTATGTAATTATAAATATTATATATTATAAATATAATAGTATTGCTGTAAGAGCATAACTGACTGTGCAGGAGGAAGGAATTCTGTCCTGCATTCATCCCCTAGTGACAGAGGGGCAGTGGTACAGAACAGAGGGGCTCTTGGGGTCTTTGCTAAATAGCAAAAAAACCAAAAAACAAAAAACCAAAAACAAATCAAAACAAAAACACACACACACATACACAAAAAAAGCCACAAAAACAAACAAACAAACAAAAAAGGCCATGAAAGCACCGTTTTCTCCCAATGCTTTTGTCGGAAGCATCTGCATCCCTCTTCATTTTCAGAAATTATGTGATAAGAGGTTCATTAACAGCACTGGGCAGCTGTTACCTGTCTGAGGGCTGTGCCATGGGGGCAACACTCACCCAGGGATAACAGCAAGCAACAGGGAATGTGACCAAGGGCCTTTACACCTGCCCCGATGTTGTGGGGCCTCTTAAAATGTGCAAACTTGGATTTAAATTAGGCCTTTCCCTTCCCAGGCAGAGGCTGCCCCCAGTCAGCCAGAGCTGCTGGAGAGACCAGCTGGGACCTGGCTGCCCCAGGGCTCCTCACTGCTCTCTGTGTGCCCCAGCCTGGGCAGGGAAAGCAAACTATTGTGTCCACCACCAGCCAAAGGTGGGGTGGAGTGTGCCCCATCCTGCTGCCTGCCCTGTGGGCTCAGGCTGCTCCCCAGCTGCTGAGGCAGTGCCAGGCAGGCTCCCAGCGCTGCTCCAGAGGCAGCAGCTGGATCCCAGCCCTGCACTGCCAGACCCCATCTTCCCTCAGCAAGGGCAAGTGCTTTCAGTGTTCCCGTCTCTCTTGCACCAACCAGAGTGCCCTGGGCACCCACCCGGCTGCTCCCAGGGCCACTTGCAGCTGCAGGGCTGATACCCTGCTCACCCACCGCTGTCACCCCCTGGGTGCCCCCCTCACCCACCACTGTCACCCCCTGGGTGCCCACAGCTGGGCTGGAGCCCGGGTTCTACTCTGGTTCCAACTCCATCACACTGCACCTACAGCAGCCTTAGCAGCCAGATTTCATCTCAGCCCGCACAAATATCCAAGTACTGACCAAAGCAGATATTTTGCACAGGTGCCATCCCTGCCATAGCCCAAGGCAGGTTGGCAGGGCGTGAGATAGACCTGTAGGTCTTGCTGTCTTTGTGTTTCAGATGACAGAGAACAGAGAGAAAGCGTGTCAGAGCTGCAGCCACGTGGCCAGAGGGAACTCCACAGTGTCACATCAAGGGTCTGTAAAGCCTCCAGCACTGTGGGCTCATGGTGGAGGGAGCCCAGCACACACCAGTGGCACCCACACCCCAGGCACTGGCACTGCCCAGAGGGCACAGACACCTGTGCTGCCTGGATGGCCAGGCTCACCCCTCAGGAAAGGGATCCCCCTCCACCACTGTCCCCTCATTTCTCCAGCTCTCCTCGCCCAGTTTCAGCGAGCACCTGCTGCAGAGACAGGGAGTGAAAGTTCCCAGAAGAAAAGCAGAGGCAGGAAGCTGAGCAATCTAAGGCCATCACTTCCCCCTCCTGCAGCGCCATCCCCTCTAGTGACCTGCTCTGGGACAAACACTGTGCAGGCACACTGGGTGTGCACACCCCCACCCCCAGTGCTCCCCTGTAAGGACCTGGCTGTGCCCCAGGCACCCAGAGCTGGAAGAGGGGTGCTCGTATTCCAGCCAAGCCTCGCCCTTGGCCTCGCTCCAAGCAGGCAGCAGCTCCTGCCCACACCTCCATTGGTAGTCCCTCCTTGGCCTGGCACAGCAAAGCCCTCAGGGGCCTTTGTCCCGTGGGTGACAGCAGTGGCACTGTCACCTCCCCTGTGTGTGCTGTGCCGGGGGCAGGAAGGGCCGCGGGTGCCGCGGCTGCTCCTGTGGAAGCTGCACAAGCAGAGGCTGCCACGGCTCAGGCAGAGGGTTCAGCCATCACCCAGCCCAGGACGAACCTCACCAACTGCTGATGGCCCTGGGAGCCTCCAGGCCCCCATCTCCCCCCACCACAGCACACAGCCCCGATTTGGGAGGGCGATCGACAACATGTGTTTAGCCTCCACCTTCCGCAGCCTGTTACACCGCCTGCTCCCACCACTTCTATTTTTAAGGGTGAGAGTTGTGGTGCTCTGTCGTTTCCCCAATTTGAGCTCTTTTCTCCCAGCAGTTCCCCAAATTAGCCAGTTTCCACGGCAAAGCTCAAAAGCTGCCAGACGGACCAGCTCTGCTGCCCCGGCTCCCACTCACCCCAAAAGATCCACCGGGAAAGAAAATCCTCGTGAAAATAAGGATGGGGACTTAGATAGCAGGCATTTGGGTGGTTTTCTGACGCAAGAGATGAAATGATACTGGGGCAAGGCTGCAGGGCCAGCCCCAAAGGGAACTCTCTGCATGCCCAGACATTCTCCCTGCTCTGCTGAGAGCAAGTTACTGGGTGGCCTCAGTGTTTTAAGTCCCAGAAACTTGAGAGTCCCCATAACTATGGAAACACCATCCCTGGAGGGATTTAAAAGCCACGTTGATGTGGCATTTGGGGACATGGGTTAGTGGTGGCCTTGGCAGTGCTGGGGGAATGGTTGGACTCGATCTCAGAGGCTCCAACTTAAACAACTCCATGAATCAGGGATGCTTGTGAAATAATGGCACAGAAGTGCCCTCAAGCAAGGAAGCTGCAGGAACATCTTTTCCGAAGGGCTGTGAACCACAGTGAGCCCCTCAGCACCACGCTGTGCCCACAGCCGGGGCATCACACCTGTACTTACATCAGAGGCAGGGCCTTTGTCGGCGCCAGGGCAGGAGAAGGTGACGAACTCATGGCACCGCTTGTGCACGACGAAGCAGCAAACTGCAAAGAGAAGACAGGGAGGGGGTGAGGAGCACGTTACAGATCAGCACCACGAGAACCGAGAGTTAACAAAATAAAATGTGGCTGTATCTGATTTGTGAGCAGAGGCCCCACAGCCTGAGCAGGTTTCTTAACCTGTGGCAGAGTTTTAACCCTTACTGCACATCACTGACTGGACCAGGCATTTCAGTAAAACCCAGCAGAACAAAGTGTTGAGCAAATGTCAGAGGAGGGCTGGGAACCCTTCTGTTCCTCTGAGCTCATTGTCACTTGTGGCACACGCTGAGGTCACCGCTGGGAATAAAGAGAGGGAGAATCTGGCGCTCGCGGGTATCTGAGCTGAAAAGTGCATGTGTCCAAAAATGGAAGATTGTACTGAGGGAACAGGTGGGCAATTTTCCTCCCACAGCTCTGCTTTTCTTCAGCATCTCCCCAGCCTCCGTTTGCCAGACCAGAAGACACGCACGTCTTCCTCCCCTCACGCACGTCGACGACAGTCGCCCTTCTGGGAACAGCACAGGGAAATCAATCCCCACATGCCACTACCCAGACTTCCAAGCAGAAGTATCCAGAGCTAAGTCCCCAAACCCTAAACTACCCAACCCTTCCAGCACATGCCAATCTGAAGCTGCCAGCACTGCTTCTGGAGTTTTTGCAGTCAAAGCACCATACTTCAAGGTTAACTTTTTCCCTAAATGACAAAAAGGCACATCACCTTCAGTAACAGACCTTGAAGAGCCATTTGGCACTGCAGGGAACTTCAGCTGATGGCCCAGGTATTTTTCGAGGGTCTCAGCCCACCTCACCCTGCAGCTGGAGGCAGCAGCACTGCTTGGAGGAGCTGGGATGTCCCAGGTCTGGGGAACAGGCACCACCTCACCCCTCATGTCACGTCCTCCTGAGTGCCAGCTCCTGCCTGGGTGCACTCACACTCTGCACCACATCCACACTGTGCCCCATCCCCAGGGGTGGGATCTCAGCTCCCAGGGGCACCACCGTGCCCAGAGGGAGCCCAGGCAGGAATGGAGCAAAGGGAACAAGCCCTGATTCTGAGGGGAAGCCTGAGCACCACACTCTGCCTCAGGGGTCTCATCTGCCACATCCTTTTCCCAAGAGTCATGATTACACCAAAAAAGAGGCCCTTTGGAAGGTGAGAAGCAGGCACTGAGGTTTGGAGACAGAGTTCAGGAACCAAACTGAGCCACGAACAAGAACAGTTGCAGCACTATGGGACTTTTCCTAAGGAACAAGGAAAAGGTGAGTGACATGAACCTCACAATCCCCTCTTTGTGCTCTGCTACATCCAGCTGTGAATTCCTTTTCCTTTTCACATTTTTCATTGTGAAAAACACAAACCCAGGAGGTTTTAAGGCAGAACATCTGCCAAGAGCTCTCTCCTCGAAGGACCTCTCACTTGCTTTTCTGAGTCAAACAAACAAACATTTTCTTGAAAGCATTGCTCACCATCTCTGTCATTTTTATATGGAGACAGAAGCATCTGGGAAGCAGGAAGGAAGAAATTAGGACTCTATTAGCAAGGGTTTCTCCTGAAGTGTGTGTGTAAACTCAGTAAGCTCTGTGACACGCCGGAGCTCAGGCGCCGTCGGGAGAGTGCTCTGCTGCCAGTCTGGGCTGCCCAGCTGAGCAGGGATAATTCCAGCTCAACAAAAGGAACAAGACTGCAATTAGGCTGAATTTATCATGGAATGGCTTAGGTTGGCAGGGACCTTAAAGACCACCCTTGGTAGTGTCCAAGGTCAGGTTGGACAGGGCTTGGAGTAACCTGGTCTAGTGGAAGGTGTCCCTGCCCACAGCAGGGGGCCAAACTGGATGGTCTTCAAAGTCCCTTCCAACCCAAACCATTCCAGGATTCTAATATAAATTGTAAGGATAACATAGACTGTAAAGAGAATCCACTGGAGGACAGTGGAGCCAACACCTCCCTGTGCATCCAAGGCAAACTGGAGCTCTCTGTCGATGGCAGCAGGGCAGGCTTTGCATCCAGTGCTTCAAAGGAAGCTCCACAAGCCTCAAAGATCCATTGGAACACTTCACACATGCTTAGGTGAATGCTCCATCCATGAAAAAAAGAAATAAGGGTCAATGGAATGAATCAGGTACAGGGTCTCCTGTCAGCAAACTCGTTTCAGCTCCCAAACATGCATGCCACCCAACGGATGCGAGGAGTTTGGATAGATCTTTCCACTGCTGTGCTCTCCTGCTGTCATCACACTTCAGCAGTTTAAGCCATGTCTTTGTCAGTTTAGAAACCCCAGCACGAGCAGCAGCTTTCCCAGGTTGCTAATTAGACAGTTAATTTGTAAATCTTATTATTTGGATAATAAAGTTATCAAATCCCACTGGTGAGCTACAAACGTCCCAAGTCATTTGTATACAACAAGAAGGAAAGATTAACCTTTCCTATTCCCTACTGCATAACACAAGAGTGATTCCTGTCCTAAATTATCCTTCAGAGCCAGCTCCATTGCAGGGGTCTCAGGAGACATCTCTGTCCTGAGACAGGATCCAAACTCTGTGGAATCCAAGAGCAGAGACCCCCAGCTCAGCAACTCTCCACAGCCTTATGAGACTTGCTGGAACACATGTTCTTCCTATCAGCCCCAGCACAGCATCAGGGCCAGATCACACACATCCATTCCCAGGCATCCTGACACAGTCCTGGGAAGAAAGATCTTCTGGAAAGTTGAGTTTGAGGGCTAAGACATCACAATAGCAACAGGGCATTTTCAAACCCTAGGAAATAATCTTATTGTGGAGGATGTAAAGAGAGAAAATGCTAGAAAATGCTAACACAGTATTGCTTAAAAATATATATATACACACACATGCTGAAAGGCTTCTTGGCTTCAACCACTGCTCAAAAACCCTCCAGAAAAACATAAAGCAATTTCCTAAACTGATCCCAGAACCTGCCAATCAGAAAAACCTCATCAAAAATGTGTTCCAGGAGTTTGAAGTTTGCAAAGCAAATGTCTGGCTGTACCTCCAGCATGGGAAGGGACTTCCTGGGGAAGGGACATCCTGGGGAAGGGACCTGCCAAGGCAGCGAGGGTGAGCGGGGCAGCTCAGCAGAGCACCCACCAGCTCTGGGCTGCCAGTGGCCAAACCAGCCTGTTCCCCTGAACACAGAGGGACAGGCTGCAGAATGAGAACTCTATCTGGCAGCGTGGGGCTGGGAACAGTTGGCTGCCTGCATGTTTTGGAAGGGTGCTGCAGATTCCTGCAGCAGCCAGAGGCAGCGGCGAGTCCTCGGCACCGGCAGCTGCTGATCCCACTCGCTGCCCATCGCCCGCATGGGCACCTTCCTCCTGCAGAATATTGCCCTTTCTCCTCTTCCACAACACAGAAACAAAGTGTTTCCCTGCCATCTCTCACCTCACAGGCTCCTTCTCCCCTCAGGCAGACAGGCACTTTGCCCAAAGACACAACAATGCCCAAAGATTTGCTCTTAGAATACAAAATCCTTCCCAGGCCAGTCTCTTCTGCCCAGGGAAAGCCCTTTATCAAAGCTTTAAGCTCCTTAAACTGGCAACAGGCTACCCAGGGAGCCAGCCCAACACAGGCACAGGTATTCCTGGAAATATCAAAGCCCAGGAAAGGCTCAGGTCAGCATTTTATTTGCAGACCCCTGAGATTGCTGAGCCTGTCCTGGAGAGCAGCACAGCAGCAGCCCCTGCCCGTGCTGCTACTGCCAGGACACGCAGTATCAGAGAATCCTGGAATGCTTTGGGTAGGAAAGAACCTCAAAGCTCATCTCATTCCAACTCTCTGCCATGGGCAGGGACATCTTCCACTACACCAGGTTGCTCAGAGTTCTGTCCAACGTCCCCAGCTGCAGGAAGGTACCCAGCCCTCCCCACGGCCCAGCCGCTGTGAGAAACGGCTTCCTGCAGGAACAAACCCTGCCTGGCAACCCCCAGAGCAGCCCTGCCTTCCATTTGATCTCCATTTGTTGCTCTAATTTCATTGCATGAACTCCTTCTCCTGATGTTCTGAAGAAGGGGATAATCAATTTTCCCTGAGTCCTTCACAAAATGAATAATTCAGTGAAGTCACCTCTGATGCCTCCTCCGAGTTCATCCCTTCCCAGAACACACATTCCCACTGAAGGGAAGCCTTCGTCCCCCTCGTTAGGCCAGGGAGAGGGCTGGAAGCACCAGGAACAGTCTTGGATACAGCATGTCAAGTAAGGGAGACAGATGGAGAGTTAAGAGAGACAGAAGAAGGTTCAAGCAAGATTCATCTAAAAATCAAAGCCAGGGAGGAGTTCAGCCCTCCCCAGGGAGTGACGGAGCCGAGCTTTGGCAGATGGTTCCAGTATCACGAAGCTCAAAGATTATTTCGAGCATATCTCAGTGTGTAGCTGCTCCCTTCCAACCTGTGGATATTCTCATTTGGATAACGTCTCCACTTCCCAACTAACAACAGATTCAGGAAACAGCTTGGAATTCAGATTAGCAAAACCGAAGAAAACAAAAACACCAGAAAAAAGGATTTTTTTAAAGAAGCTTTGTGCTGATCCACCTACACTGGGCAAACCCCCGGGGTCAGAGGCACTGCCCTGGGCTGTGCCCCAATGAGGGACTGAAATGCTCCAAAGCCAGAGCTGCCCACGATTTTCCATTCCACGTTAAAAAAAATAAATCAGACTCACGACATCAAACAGAGGCAGTGAAGCGTGGTAATCATAAAATAAGGGGAAATAAGGGCTCCAGGAGGGGAAGTCCTCAATTTCTGACAGCACTTTGCAGCTTTTAATCACTTAGAGCACACAGAGAGAGAAGCTGAGCTAAAATTTGTGCTCTTTGGATTTAATCCCCAGCTTTGGTTAAAAGCTTTCTGGGGTTCTTACAGCACAACAAATGTCTTCAGCTCCTCAGACTTCAGCGGTTTTCCCACTGTCAGCTCCAGAGAGACACAGTAGAAACAGCCATGATCCGCAGGGATTTTTGGGTAGCACTGGGAGCAGGGATGGGGAT